GTGACCTGCTGTGCATGGCTGTGCATGACCTCATATGACCTGATCACCTGACTAGGCTGAGTAAGCAAGATGTTCTAGCAGGTTCCACCACAGAGGTATAAATATAAGGCCTACTCTGCCTGGGGACTGTCTCTTAGGATCATCCACAGGTACCTATACTGTAGATAGGTCTTAGTCATCAGGTCTACTCCACTTCCTTGTTGCCTGCTTAGACTCTTGGCACTCTTAGGTGAGCAGACTTAGTCAGCCTGTGTTGCCCTAACAATAGGCCTGAAAGGGTGTGAAATCATCCAACAATGGTTGAGTGAGGGCCGTGATGTCTCTGGCAGGATTCCAAAGGACCTGGTTGAGAGATTGCCAAAGTGCAATGATTTGAGCATCCTGCAAGTCAAGCACCTGACTCAGGAAAGACACCACAGTGTTGGGAAGAGTAAGAGGAGGAGTTGCTGGTTGGGTGAGTGTATGGACTTCCTGCCAGGCAATTCTTGTTTGAAGATGTCAAGCTAAAGCCAAGAATGACAACATTTGCTCTACAGAGACACCAGTAAGCACTTGTTGAACATCAAGGAGCTGAGAGAGAAGCTGAGAGATTTCCATAAGAGTAGATAGATGATGGTGATGGTGATAGTGATGGTGTTAATGCGGGAAGATAATATCAGTGATGTGTTGTGTGGATATGAAACAAAAATTAATTAATTAGTAATATTACATAATAAAACCATCTACCAGATTTGTGCCGAGGATCTGGCCAGAGAACCGGCCGGACCCTTGCACAGCCGAGGCCGGAATCTGGAATATATGGATATCTATCCGAAGTACGGATTCCGGATTGCATGTCCTGAAACCCGGATGTACTGGAAATATCAACGTGGAACTGCCACTGATCCAATCCCCACACCAATCACATATTCGCCCAACACGCTTTCTACCAATTCTCCGTTTCTCCGTTCCTCACCCCACGCAGAACCGCACTGCTCCCCCGGTGTTATTGCTTTTCTCTCAGGGTCCAATGAGGTAACTGAACCCTGACCATCAAGGGCTCTTCCGCTCGGGGGTTATCTCGCCTTATGTAGCTCCTTGCTCAAATTAGACTAATCCTCTGTATTCAGTGTTGACGCCTGTTGACACTTGTTTAGCGTCGGACTCAACCGCACAGCACTCTCAAGCAATCACCAGGCAATGAAGTAGTTCTCAGGGATAAGCACAAGAACTTTCACATCGGAGGAGAACGACTCGCTCCTGAGATTTGTGTATAAAACTATCTCCTCAAATCGTGTGACAAATGTCCACACTAACAACATGTCCACTGCACCCAACACCTCCCCCATCACCCAGATCCCCGCCATCTCAGATGGTATCCCCACAAGTGCCGACCTCGCCCCTCTATCCTCTTCACAATCCTTTACACCCTCCTCGTCCCCCTCATCTTCTACCGCGCCCATGGACGCTCATCCTCGCTTCCGCCCGTCTATCCCTCTTCGCGGGCCTTCGGATCGCGACATTCATCCTGCGAGCAATTGAAGCCCACCAGGCCTCCCAAGGCGTCGTCAGCCCGCAAATAGTGCCCTTCGTGGTGGAACAGATCTTCCTAGGCACAGGGTTCATCGTGCTTGCCACCAATCTCGTCAGTCTCGTGAGGTCTCATCTGACGAGGGAAGACGTACCTCGCCCGTCTGAGCAGCTCTATCTTGTCAGGAAGATGCAGCCGGCGGGGACGATCATGATCCTTGGTTTGATCGCAGCCGTGTATATCCCTCCCCCTCTCTCCAACCTTTGAAACTAACACCGCCCAGCGTACTGGGAATCATCGCCGGCGCCCAGTACTCATCTGCCATCTCCGACCCCTCTGTCGCGAGCGAAAGCAAGAGTGAGCGGCTTGTCTCCTCCGCCCTGACGCTCGTCGTATGCATACTCGCATTCCTCCTCTCTGTACACATGTACATCTCTCACCCTTCCATCGCCCGTCGCTCTTCCGTCTACCTCGCGCTCACCTCCCTCCTGATACTGATCATCCCTGCCTACCGGATCGGCTCCATCTCCTCAAGCACCAACCCTACGCTCGCAGACCTGCTGGGCACCAAGACGAAAGCTGAGTTCTGGGTCTTACAGGTCAGCGTAGAGTGGGTAGCACTCACCTTGCTGTGCGCGGTGGATATCCGCACATGGTTCGGTGCTGGTGGGAGAGTGGCTCTGGAGGCTATGGGGCAGGAGGTGGAGATGACAGAGGAGGCTAAGCGGGCGCAGGCGGGGGAGTATGCGATTGGGGCTTGAGCGGCGCGGCAAAGGAGAGACGATTGTCGCACGAATGGGAGCAGGTTTTCTCGTTTTCACGAAATCACTGGCACCAGTGTTGCCTGATAATGACTTCTTCTTTCAATCCCAGAGGATTAGCCGATCAGGGGAATAATCTTATGTCGGAAGATGATTCGCAGGAGACAATGGCGACACACGGGAAGGATAATTTGTGCCGATGGCTATTGATGGGTTGCATGGGCAACCTGAGGCAGCCGGAGTTTCAGCGATGGCGCAAGATGTGTCCAGAGCAAATACCTCAGTGCGCAAGACTTCTAAACCCAATGCTCACAGGTAGATACATCCGGCATACATAATCAGATAGCAACAGATGATCATCTCACCAAATAAGCAGATTACATAAAGATCTAGCGGTACATCAGAAGAACGAATAATTGCCTATCACGGAAACTGGCTTGGCAGGGCCCGTTTGGCGTTGCACAATATTCTTTGGTTGGCGCAGACAGTCGCACAAGTGCATAGTCGGTCCGGGCAGCAACGTGGGTGTGCAGGAGCCCTTGTGAGGAAAGACGCAGTTCAAGCATACGAGATCTCGCTCTTCCCCCTTCCCCCCCTTTCGGCCGTCTGATCCGCCGCGTAAACCTGCTCAAACGGCTCCCTCCCCCGAGAAGAGAGCATCGTCTGCGCCTTCTCCCCTCCCGCAAAGAACCACACCCTGACGTCCACCAGCAGCAGTGCGAGGGTAACAAACTACTCCATCGCCCCCTGCAAGATGTAGAACTTGACTTGGGTGCCTGCGCCTACGAGCGCGGAGATGGAGGGCGAATCCGTGACGCTTGAAACGCGGTACGAAGGGATGATCACCAGTATGCAATTGATGACGAGGAGGTAGATCGTATGTGAGAGGCCGAGGGAAGGATGCGTGAGAAGAAGGAGGGAGACGAGGATCAACAGAGCGCAGACAGCGAGACACAGGGCGACGGAGACGATGCGCAAAGTCTGCACTTCCGAGGCGATGGAGGGGCTGTTGATCGCACTCGAGTACTGGGCTGCGGCGGCAATCCCTAGCGCACTATCCAAACATGAGAAGGAAAAGCAATCAGGCCAGGATTAACGTACATGGCTACGATCAGCGCGAGATGCATGATTCGCACGATTCTTTTCAAGACGTGATGGCCCGCCGGGTGAGCCCAGCGTGTTTCCCCAGCCGGGGGGACGTCCGTCCTCCACATATGGCTCTTGAGCAACTCGATCATCAGATCTGCTAGAATGATGAACCCAATGCCTAGCAGGACTTGCTCAGCGATAAAAGTGCCTAGGTTGGGCACGGGGTTGTTGGGTAGGCTGGCGCTGTGCGCTTCGCTTACTCTTAGGCCGAAGGTAGCGATCCGCATCAGAGCGAAGAAGATGAGCCTGATAAAGGTCCACATGAGTCGACCGGGCTTACGGTAGGTGTAAGTCCTCCATATGCAGGGAGGGAGCAGGATGCCATAGAGGAGACAGAAGAGGATCGAAGGTGCGAAATCGGGGGAGGTGGGGATCCCCCCGCTGATGTTAGGCAGGGAACCGATAGTGCTGTAGGGGTCGGTGTTGCCTGACATTGCCGTGCGCTAGAGGTGTGGTCCAGAGGTATTCAAAGAATATGACCCCGGTGCCCCAAGTGAGTGTAGATCTGTCGTTTAGCCATCCTGAATCTAAGAGCCTTTTTATCTCTAGAAATGGGCTGCTTGGTCTCCCGTTCGCAGTCTTCCCGCACCAAGAAAATACCCGAAAGACATGGAACAAGCCCCGTGAGCATGCTCTATTTTTACCCAAGCCATAGATGAAGGAGAGCCAATATACGCCGAGACTTGCTCATCGTTCGCCGTGAGAAAGTTGACCGCTATGTGCGTTGGGGGCGGTGCTGTGGCTGAAATCTAAGGGTCTCCGGCGCATAGTTGTTAGTCCGCTTCCGGGCGGCGATTTGAGCCGGCCGTAATATATTGCGGGCCTGTAGTTATTTTGTGGGCACTGTTTCTCTTCTCTCAGGCTACTGTACTCATAAAGGTAGGAGTTGAGGCGCCTTTCAGCTGAGTCCCCTTCCTTACAACGGAATTCCCCCTCATTCGAATGTAGTTGTAATCACCTTGTGACTTATCCTGTGGCAGTATTGGACCCTTTCCCCGTCATTAAATAATGAAAACCCGCAGGTGATGACGTCATTGCACTGGTAGATAATGATGTTGTGGCCCGCCTTTTGGTTATTAGCGGGTGAAATGTCACGTGTCCCAAATGCACAGCCACTACTGTACTCACAACCATTAGCCACATCATTCGCCGCACACAATGCTCAAGATGTCCCACCGCGATCCTGATGTCACCCCGCTCTGCTCACTCCTCTCACCCACGCCCACCTCCATACCCCGTTCCCTAGATTCAAGTCTCTTCGTCCTTCAAGCATCTCACAACACCCATCTTCCCCTCCTCCGTTCTGTCCTCGTCGCCGCCGTCTCTCAGTCCGTCTTTTCCTTCATCCCGAGGGGTTTTGCTCACTAGCGCAGAGGGCATCAGGTGCTGGTGCTGACGTTTGATGTTCCTGATCAATGGTTTAAAGGGTTAGAAGGCCTGAGGGTGGAGGACTATACCCATCTTGTTGGGTACGAGCCCTCCGAAGAGCCAGCAGATCCCTCAGTATCAGCTCTCGCAGCACTCGAATCCCGTCTGTTTACCTTACATCTCTTCAACCATCTAGCCTGCTAATTCCTCAACCCAGTACCCCCAGGATCAGCAACGCTTGCTCTCGTTGGGCTTGATCTGCTCCCTCTCGCAAGAGGATACAAGCTCGCCAAGACCCTCTTCACCCACCTATCCGTCCGCCAGCGGTCCCGCATGCTTATCCCGCTCTCTTTACACTCCCAGCTTGCGGAACTCCTAATCCACCCTGTTGCGTTGTCAGGTCGTCTGACACACCTCCTGTTCTATTCCCCGTCGATCTTGCACCACCTGGCAACAAACTTCCTCGTCCTCCCACCTCCTTATACCGACGCGTCCAAGTTCTGGGCCCTCTTCACGGGCGCTGCACATCGCGGAGAGGGAATGAATCCACGCGAAGTATCGATCCAGGAAGGACTTGTGGAGAGCAGGGTCAGGAAGCGCACTCTCATACAACGGGCACTCGAAGGCTGGAAAGAGGGAAAGGAAGGTGTGGAAGCTTGTGATTGGAGGGATTTGGAGGGGATGAAGCTCCTCCTAGCTGACTTAGACCCAGGGGTGCCTCAGACGGTCCGTTCTCCCATTTTCGTGCTGAATTGGGCTCATCCGACTTGCAGTCAGGAACAGACCCGACCCAGGGGTTGTCCTTTAACCTCTCGCTCACGCCCGCCCAGGAACAGGCGAGGGGAGCAGTACCCCTCCCTTATACGCATGCGGGCCAGCCGGAAGAGGGGACGGGCGGGGGGCAAGCTGGGATTCTGTACGAACCGGATGAGGGAGATGATGTAGATGAAGAAGATCCTGATGAGGATTTGGATATCTAATAATGGGGAGGGAACAGCGCGCGGTGGGAGGGCATGGAGCTGTGGAGTGGTTGCCAAGCTCGACGCCGATGCACCCACGCACCAAAACGCCGGCATACCCATTGCACGCCGTACAGAGCCGAACTTCTAACCACCTACCAGGAGAATTTCCTGCCGCACACAACTCTGTTCTGTTTGTTGGCATTCATCCACCTTCACGGGAAATGAGGTTCTCGATCTGGTAACCACACCCAATTACGACTATCGGATATCGATATGTATTGCCCCGAGGCCTCGCTATCGAATATCCGGATCCCCACCTCCAAGGAAGGGTTTTCTTACGGTGGTGCCAGGGCTCGCGACACGCCTCTTCATCTATGGCTACAACCTCGCATTCGCCCGTTGCTTTCCATGATATCGACAACAGCTCCCTGACTAGACTCGACCACGCCAGGAAACAGGAGGATACATATACATTTCATCGGAGCGCACAGAACATCCGATCGGAGCATACATGTCCACTTCTCAACCTATGCTCTATTGGTCAACATTCCCCACCCCTTGGAAACGTGCAAAGCCAGCCTCTCACCACCGTCAACGTACTTCTGCCAGTCAGCATCGAGTCTTCCCCCTCTTCCCTGACAGTGAGCCAACTTGATCTCTGGCGTACGAGCGTGGTCGGATGGTACGAAAAGTGGTACCTGTTGTCAGTTGTACAAGCGACTTGGCGGAGATAGATCGCTATCGAGAGGACTGATCTACCAATGGAAGCCCAAGATCGGTGTTTAAGGACACTTCAAGCACTCGTTCTGCTATTGGGAACAGGGGAAGGAATACGTTTACAATGCTTGCCGAACCGAGCCGATAGCCCTAAATGATGTTCGTGGTTCTCTTATAATAGAACGTGTTTGCAGTCCAAGCAGTCAGCACTCAAGAAACAAAGAAATGGATTATGCTCGAAGTCCTCTACATTATCAACCCCCTAGACAAAATATCACTACACAGGGTTAAACTTGGCCTCCACCTCTGCGGACGGGGAATCGGTCTTGACCCGCTGCCGCCATTCTTTGGGATGCGTCCCGTCGAGCATCATCTTTGCCTCCTGTCCACCGGCAAAGAACCATACTCTGACGTCTACGAGCACCAGCAAGGCAGCGACGATCCATTCTACCATCGCCTGCAGGATATAGAACTTGACACGTGTAGCGGTGCTTATCAGGTCCGTGAGGCTCGTGTGCGTCGCCACGGAGGTCGAGAGCCTGAATGCGGGGATGACGAGCAGCAACCCGCCAGTGATGAAAAGGTACAGCGTGCGTTGCACGCCCAGGTGGGGGAACCTAATAAGTAGGAGAAGGGATATGATCACGATGAAGCCGACGACGATGAGGGCGATGGAGGTGGAGGCGATACGCAGTGCTTTCACAGTGTCGTTTTTCGACGGGTTGCTCACTGCGGAGGAGTACATCGCCCCTGCCACGATTCCCATTGCACTGTACTCTGATTAGATGTTGAAGAGCAGGGACGAAAGAAAAGGACGTACATGGCTGCTATGAGAGAAGCATGCAAGATGGTGATGAAATATCGTAGTATAGGAGCTCGGTTCGCCTGCGCAAACTCTGTCTCGTCTTCGAGTGGCACATCCGTTCTTGAGATATGACTCTGGAGGAAGACGACCATGAGGTCGAGCATGACGATGAAGCCTACGCCGAGGAGAATCTGCTCGGCGATGAAGATGTTCAAGCTGGGGAGGGGATTGAACGGCAGCTCAGCGGTGACGGCCTCATCTGCTCTCAGGGCAAAGGTTGCAATACGGATGACGAGGAAGAGGACTAGTCGGATGAATGTGAAGAGGAGCATGCGCGGACGACGGTAGGTGTAGGCGCGCCAGATTGTTGGGAACAAAAGCAGGAAGTAGGCAACGATGAATACGATGGACGGGGCGAGGTCGGGGCGCGTAGGGAGGCCGCCGGAGATTGCAGGAAAGTTGGTCACCTGAAGCGGAGAGACTTGTCCTGCCTCTGAGATTAAGTACAAATCCATGAGAAGGACGAGGGAGAAGTGCAAAGTAGAGACTCAAGAGAGATGTCGCAAAAGCAACGTTCGATACTGTATGGAACTGTCGGCAGATGCGCCGCCATGGTCATTATATACATTCTACCGTATGGTCCGGGGGTGCGTCCACCCAAAGGGCATGCACGAAGAGAAAAGAGAAGCGATCTGCCCACCCCCGGCGTCTCGGACGCACAGCAGGACACCAATACATTAAAATATCACGTGACTGGGGTCCCGGCGCTCTCCTCGCCCTTGGCAAGCCCATCCCTGGTGAGAAGCACGTGATGTGACCCACCCCGGTTGGGGAGGGTTACTAACCTGTGGTTGGTGTGCACGGTCAGCGTGCGCAGATTGCGGGAGAAAGACTCCGATACCCTGGTAACGTAACGGGTTTCACGGGATAGTTTGAACGGTGACATTCGGTCAATTGCCCGACCGAGCTGAATTGGACCGGTCTCGCTGGTGGGGACCGGAGACCAGCTCGCTGCAGTGAGCCCTACCATTATCAATCCTTTGCTCACTGCTATCATCAATCAACTGAGGTGTCTTCGTTACCTTGAACTTGGATATGGGGAGTGGGAGAGGCCATAGGAGACGAGGGATGAGGGATGAAATGAACCCACAGTCGTATATGCAGCATTCGAGCGCAAAGAGGAATGCACTTGACTTAAGCGCCCTAAAGGTAGGACAAGAGCGCAGCGAGTGAATGATTATTCACGAGCCATATCGGGGATCCTTGTTGCGCAAGCTGCGGGGCTGCACTGATTTTTCTCGTGACAATAATCACATCTACAATACATGCATTGCTGGTGTCATACGATGGCAAGCATATGAATGATCAAGTAGTGTATCTATTCTAAGATATCGCAACCTGTCACTTTCACGGGACAAGCCTCGACCCATCAAGCATATGACCCTGGGGTCCTATCTCCCCATCCCCTCACGGGACCCAACCTCATCTCTTCCGCACTTCCCTGTGGGATCAGTCCCCCGCGTTCAAGCATCATCTGCTTCTCTCCTCCAGCAAAGAACCATACCCTCACATCTACGAGCACCAGTAGGCCAGCGACGAGCCATTCTGCGAGTCCCTGGAGGATGTAGAATTTGACCCTTATGTCTGTGCTAACGAGATCTTCGAGGGATGGCTGAGATGCTAGGGTTGTGGACAGTCGGTAGGCAGGAACGACAAGTATTATACAGCTCGTTACTAAGAGGTAGACGGACCTCGACTGGCCCAGGTGAGAATACTGGAGCATCAGGAAGAGGGAGACGATGGCGCAGAGCGCGGAGACGACGAGTGCGATTACGGTGCTTGCTGTGCGCAGTGTCTTGACGTTCGAGGCAGTGGAGGGGTCTGTGAGAGCGTCCGAGTACTGAGTGCCGGCCACGATGCCTAGTGCACTTTGGACATGTTAGGACTTGCCAGTGGAAGGAGAGGAGAGAGAAAGAGAACATACATCGATACTATCAGAGCTACATGCATGAGCCTCACAATCCGCTGCAGAACGTTTCGCTGGCCTTCCTGAGCAAACAGCGTCTCATCGACCACCTGAACGTCGGTGCGCCAGATGTGGCTTTTGAGCAGCTCGACAATAAGGTCCACGAGTACAATGAACCCCACGCCTAGGAGGATTTGTTCGGCGATGAAGATCCCCTCACTGGGAACGGGGTTGTCTGGGATCTGGGCAGAAGCGCCTTCTGCTGCTCGGAGGGCGAATGTGGCAACACGGATTGAGATGAAGAGACAGAGACGGACAAAAGTGAAGAGGAGTGTACCAGGGTGCCGGTAAGTCCAGGTTCTCCAGATCGCAAGGGGCAGTAGGGCCACGTAGGCAATCGTGAAGATAATCGAGGGCGCTTCATCTGGTGATGTTGGGAGGCCACCCGAGAGAGCGGGGAAGGAGGCGAAAGAAAACGATCCAGTAGAGTTGGACATTCTTGCAGTTAGAAGGGGTGCTGGGGCTGTTGTTGTTGGTGAGTCTTATTTTTCAGAACATGAAGGTATTTATGCACCTGTCTTCTCCTCCTACCATCATTTTCCTCCAGCATCCCCGCAGCATCATCCCTATGGCCCATGGCGAACAACAACACAGCGACTTGCACAAAGCATACCGATCCCGATGCCGTCAGGGTCCGTCGGACCGCACCTCGGCACTTCCCATGTGAGAAGACCCTTGTCAGCCAATAGGAGCGCTCCCTCGGCGGTTACACCGGGTGGGTGTGCGGGGCGGCCTGGACGGGTCTCCGTTTGACATTCCGAAACTCCTAGCTTTTGGGCTGGCAAACTGCGGCCGGTGCATCGCGTGAGATGAGGGAGCGACTAGGTTTTCTCCGAAAGTTTTGTGCGTTTAATTTTCGCCTTGAACCATACGCCAGTACGAGGAGAGATCAGATAGCATTGCCTTGCCTTCGAATTTGTCCGCCAGAGCAGTAGTCATCGGATCAAAATATCCCCGCAGCTGCGCGCATGAGACCTGATCTGCGCTGTTCATGGATTGGTATATGGAGTCTGCTTTGGCCTCAAAATGGACATCTGGTCAGAACGGGGAATGACGCGCAGTAGTGCTGAGACCTCGAATGTTGCTTCTATTTGGCGTGATTACTGAGAAATCCACCAGGAGTGTAGATAGCCATGACATGCTTGTTGTAAGCGGAGGTGAGCTGATGGAGGTTTCACAACCCCGATTAGAAGAGAATCGCAGCGAAATACGTGGAATACTCAACGGAGATAACATGCGATTCTTGCACGGGTGGTTGGAAAGATGCGCCGATAGTCCAGAACCTTTCAGTTATCAAACCGGGCTCTCGCTTTACATTAGCACAGGAATCTTCATCCCGCCTGCATTTCTGTATCGCGCTACCGGGATAAAAACATAACCGAGCAAGCGCCCATATCAATATATGCAGATCTTGGGCCATCTTCTGATGGTGTACTCTGCTCTTCTTATCGTGAGAATGATACACGTGTCAAGTAAGTGCTGTTTCGAAGCAGCGGGTTTGCCACATTCGCATCGGGGCTAAATACCGGAAATGAACGCGTCGTCGGACTCAGGACTCCGGTTGCGCTGCTCGAGGCAGCTATGGAAGTGTATTCATAGCACCGGCGTTCCCTGATGACCTGAGGATATTCGGTGCATGAGCGAAGTTGCACACGAACTAGCTGAACCTGGCAGGAGATGACAAGGAGCGATTCAGTGTGTTCTCATATCTCTTGACTCGTGGGTAGTGGTGATCGGGAAGAATCCAAGATTAAATGATCGAGTTTGACGTGCGTGAAGCGGAGGACGCTGGAGTCTTTATGTGCACCCCGATGATCCATTATCTCCACAACCGTGTGGTTGATATGAGGCGCCAAATCCTCCGTGGATTTGAACCTGATTGACGTGCCCGGTACCGCACACTGCGTCCTGAGGAGCTGCCCCGGCGTTATCTCCGGCGCGCGTTTCGTGTGGATGGGTCCTTCAGTTAGTAACGGCATTCTTCGCGCTTATGACGATGTAAAGAACCGCTGCAAAACCCGAGAAGATGTTGACCATAAGTGAAATAGTATGCCGTAGGTGCTTCTTGGCGGACCTGTTCCCTGACCCGAGCTCGGTATCGAGCTCGACCCCGAGCCCGGAACCCCCGACGTGCACGCCTTGAGTCGCACACCAACGACAGAGCATTTTAGCCCGCTTGTTAGCAGGCTGACGTCTCAGTGTGCGTCCGGATATTCCCTGCATAACGTAGACAAATACAGGTTCAATCCAGACAGTGGTTATAAGGCGGTGCAGAGAGTAGAGACCGCTGGCAGTCGCGCGTTGTACGAAATCAAGCTGTACGACCGGAGCCCGTGGGTAGTTTCTCTTCTCAACAGTGTCTCGCCTACGTACCTCGTCTGAGTACATATCATATCTCCATCATAGCAAAGGTACGATGAAAGATCCAGTGACATCGGAAAGAAGGTAGGCCATCAGACTTGCAAGTATGGTGTTGGTGATGAGGCAAGGTGTATGTATGCATACGCGCATGACGCGTCCCTGATCAAGTCATGCTCCACGCGCCCCATTCCTAAGCTCCATCACCTCTCATTCCAACCCGATCTGCTTTCTTCCCTGGTCAAACCTAGTTGACATTCTCAACGCATATCATAACAATGGGAGAAACAGTCGCATGGTGCGCATATATCTACGCATATAGCTGACTCTGATGAAGATCACAGTCCGATCTGCGGGAGTACCCTTTCTGAGGATGACATCAACGCCCACTTAGACAGATGCTGCGTAAAGACACCGACAAAACCTTCGAAGCAGAATGGATCGATCGCGGGATCGAGACCAAAGCCTATCGCACCTATATTCCTACATAAAAGGCCACCCTCTCCTATTGCTACTCCAAAGTCACCTCCCCTCAAACGGGCAAGACCATCCGCATCCCACACCTCCTCCTCCTATCAATCCCATCCCTCCTCCTCTGCATCCCATCCCCGATCCACGCCATTTCACTCCTCCGCACCGATACACTCTCCCCACACCATCAAGAACAGTACTTCCTCAAACCTCCTCGCTGCCCAGCCCCTTGCAGAACGCCTTCGCCCACAAACATTAGACGACTTTGTAGGACAAGAAGATGTTGTTGGTCCTGGAAGTCTCTTGCGCGGATTGATGGAGAAAGAAGGGAGTACTGGCGTAGGGAGCTGTGTACTGTGGGGTCCTCCAGGAACAGGTGTGTTCTCTCTGATGTCTACGTGGTCTCGCTAACCTTATGTGCTGCTCTTACTTGGTGAATAGGGAAGACGACCCTTGCCCGCATCCTGGCACATAAGAGCGACGCGGTGTTCAAAGAGCTCAGCGCGACAAGCAGCGGCACAGCCGACGTCCGGGGAATATTCGAAGAAGCCAAGAACCTCTTAAAGCTCACTGGAAGGTACACGCCTCCCGCACTTTGAGTTGGCGCTAAGCTGATGTAATGCAGGAGAACGATATTGTTCGTGGATGAGATACAGAGATTCAATAAGGCTCAGCAAGACTTGTTCTTGCCCTATGTGGAGAACGGGTGGATTCAGGTGCGTTCCCTGCTCATCCACATCCCATTCTTCACCTCCTGCTCGACCTTGTGCTCTTCTTCCTGTACCGCTATCCTGCTTCGAGACCAGCACTAATCTATGTGCCCTAGCTTCTTGCGGCCACCACAGAAAACCCATCGTTCAAGGTCAACGGTGCACTTCTCTCCCGATGTCGCGTCTTCGTCCTCCATTCCTTGACATACGAAAACCTGCTCCAGATCCTCTGTAACGCCGTCTCTCGCATAAGCTCCAGCACCTCCCCCTCGACAAGTGCGCCCGCGCGACCAATACCAGACCAGATCCTGGAACGGATTGCCCGCCTCTCAGCAGGCGACGCGCGCACCGCGCTCTCAGCACTCGAACTAGTCCTCTCCGCCCCTGCCACGCTCTCTGAAGCGGCACTACTCGAGACGGTAAAACGCAGCGTTGTAGCGCGCTACGATAGGACAGGAGACGACAGGTACGACCTCATCTCCGCCTTGCACAAGAGCTTGAGGGGGAGTGACGTCGATGCGGCGATGTACTACTTAGCCAGGTGCGTTCGGTCTGCCCTAACCTGATCGACTATTTCATGCTGCTATGCCTCTAGGATGCTCAGTGCTGGAGAAGACCCGCTGTACGTTGCGAGACGGCTGATTGTGGTTGCGAGCGAAGATGTAGGATTGGCGAATAATGAAGCGCTACCTTTGGTGCGCTCTTCCCTCCCACCTGGCTCAGCTCGAACTCACCAACTGCCTCGGCTCTACCTCCCACGTTTTCTGCACTTGCATCATGACTCCCTGGTGTCCGTTCGCCCATCTACAGGCCGTATCGACCTACCAAGCATGCCAATTGATCGGCATGCCAGAATGCAGGATCAACCTCGCACATTGTGTGGCCCACCTGGCGCTGAGCAAGAAGAGCACGAGAAGCTACATGGCTTATAATAGGGTACGTGTGCTTGTTACTTTTGGGCAATCAACTTCTGTTTTGCTGAGAGCTTCGTTCTGAGTGCGGCAACTCTTTCCCGTCGTTTCCCTCTTTGCTCTTAGTCTGTCATGTGGTCCTCTCACCCTCGTTCCAGTTCCTCCCTTCGTCTTTCTGTTACTCTTAGCCTCCGTCTTCCCCTGCGAGCTGTCGGCTTTGCTTCTTTCCCCTGTACATCTTTTCCTCTTTTGATCAGGACCGAGCATGCTGTTCTGTCCATTCCCCTTCCCTTCCGAGCCCCAAGCTGACCTTTGTTCCTATGATCCCGTTGAACAGGCGGAAGCAGCTGCAAAACAAGATACCACTGTGCCCGTTCCGATGAACATTCGTAACGCCCCGACGCGTCTCATGAAAGAGCTGGGCTATGGCAAGGGATATTTGTATAATCCTAACTTCGCGTGAGTTTCGTTGTGCTTCTTCGCGTGTATGACAGGCCGTGGCTGATACTGTCGCAGACACCCAGTGCACAATGTCTTCCTCCCCTCCACCCTCCAAGGAAGCCGGTTTTTATGGGAAGAAGGGGAAGGCAAGACCTGGGATGAAGAAGCCCTGCAAGACTGGGAGACAGTGGAGAACGAAGGCAGGCAATGGGAGGGTCGGAAGGGGAGGACCGCCATTCGCAGGGATCTGGACAACATTGCTGCCCGAAGAGATGATCGAAGAGGGGAGATGAGGGAGGGAGGGAGCGAGTTGGATGGGCTTTGATGTCTGGACTTGACGGAGAGGTAAGCCCCCTTGAGTTGCTTTTCGAACCTTCTCACTGCCGTTTTGGAACAGGTATCAGATCTGGGTTCAATATGTTGACCTCAGATCGTACTGTACACTATACCAAGGAAGCTGGCTGTGTGCCCAGTCTTCGCATGTATGCAATATGTACAGGACTCTACCTGGAAGTTTTTCTTGCCTGTGTATGGACTGGTTCCCAGATCCTTGGTTCCGCATAATGAGGTAGGCATCAGGTGTAGAAGCTACGGCCAATTGAGTAGGCGGGAGGATTTCTGATTGTGAGGTACGTCCTCCCACCTAGAATAACGCGGTCTGTGCATCGTCACGAGATACGATCATTGGCATTGGTTCCATTTTATCACGAACGCTGTCGCTCACAACTTATAACAGATCTTATTGGAGATCTTGACTCGTCTTCCGGAGGGCACGTTCACGAGCCACATACCGATCTACTGGGGCAGGACGTTCAACCAGGAAATGTAGGCCGATGTGGACGTAGGTCTGCAATGACTGTCCGCACTTTGTTGTGGGAAAGCCATCTGCCCCTTATTCAGTTTTCCCCTGCTGTATCCATCCTGGATCCATCCAAGAGGTCCGGTCGATTTCAACAAGTTGTCCCGTGAGAATGAGGTGTGACCCATGTTGCAAGGGTCACGACCCTTTGAGATACTGAGGTGTATTCGCTGGCTTTCAACCTCGACTAATATTGGTACACTCTAGCAATCCAGGCCATCACAAAGTCGTTCTGTGATCAACAAGCATTCGTGGAACAGCCGAGCCTCCATCAGACATCACGTGAGGAAGCTGTGCTGCTTATTTTGCTTTCTCATCTCATCAGCTTGTATCGGCTCTCTTCACCGCTCTTCAAGCATTTGTTCAGCCAGGTTCTAGGCTGATCCATGCTTCTCGCTCCATGTACGGCCTCTAGCGCAAACAGATTATTGTAGATCCGCCTATCGCTGACAGTTGGACACGAGCGGACTGGACTTCTGCCGGGACCGGATATGAGACAGTTTGCACGGAGAAGTTTCTTCGCCCATCGTATCCTGCTCTCAACTGAGACTTCATTTTACGTCGACATAACAGGATATTTTTCCTCCTTGGTCCCGGCTTGGTATACCCGAGTGCCACCACAAGGAACTTGGGCTGTGTTACGTTAAATGTCACACCATCATCTGGAGTACCATATTCTTGCCTCATGTTCATACAACCACATACGTATACATTACTCCGCCTTGCCCCAACGTTCCGAGCCGCTTAGCCGAAGACACACATAACCTGTGATCTGGCCTATTCTGTCGGAATAACCGCAACGAGGATGCGCAACGCTATTCCTGCCTTTGTCCACATGACAGGAGGACCCATGATCACCTACCCCTTCGCTGGAACACGCGATCCAGCCTCGAACATGAGCTGTCAGTCCTGATGACAACAACAACGACAAGCAGCCTCAATCTCCGCCAATCCATGGATACAAGAACATTTGACTATGCCAATATATCTTTGGCTCCTGCAGGCTGCGCACTGAATGCGGTATCGCCTCAGGGGCTAGCCGAATTTCGTCGTTCACTCACATTGACCGACTCCCGAGCCACATCCCCCGCTAGCCGGTATATACTTGGAGTTGATAAGTCTTAAAAACGATGTCTTACTCCGGTGCATCATCTGAACTTGGTAAAACTGGCACTCAAGACACCCCCTATGCGAGTTCCGCTGGAGAAACATGGCCTCAAGCTTGAATCCGCTCGATTTCGAAGACATTGTGCGATCTGCACTAATCCTGAACGTAAGTGGTTCAGAAGCACGTGAGAAGCAGTGCCTCATGTTCCGTCCAGCAAGCCTATAGTAACGCCGTTTCCTCGGTAGCAACATCTCCGGACTGACCACTCTCCCTCTTAACAGTCGGCTCATTAGCATTCATCCTCTATGGTGGGCTTACTTGTTCTCAGCATACGTCCGGGCGCTTATTTGCGGACACAGACCATGCATTAACGCTTGATGAAGAGGTGCATTCCTGACGCTTGGACCTTACATGACTTCTCACTTATCATCGGCTTCCCCTAGATCCACTACATGTGGTCCTGCGATCGAATAGAGATTGGGAAAATCTTATTCTGCCTGGTGTGTTCGCTTGAACCGTCTCAGTTAGCCTGAGGCTGATGAGCAAAAGAATCGTTATCTGGTCCCCGCAGAATACGCAGTTACCCTTTATGGTAAGTGAAACAGTGGCACTTCTCAACGATCAGGATTGACCCCATGTAGGCTTTCTCGCTGTCCCAAGCCTACCAGTTCGTCCGTCCACTAGTCCCACTTGGCAGCGAGATTGACGTAGTGCGCCAAGGTATGCAAGATCTTATACATGTTCCAAGAATACTCGTCCCTGGGGAGTTTGGCTGTTGTCCAAAGTATGTCCGTCTGATTTCTAATTTCATGCTGTTCGCTAATTTCAGCGGTCCAGTTGTGTTAATGACACGAACATGGATTCTTTGGGGTGCGAACAAGCTCCTGCTGGCAACGCTCATTGTTCTGCTCCTCGGCTGTCTATACGCCACTGGCATTCTCCTATGCTTTATAAGCAATGGGCAAGATTGTACGTCCATCCCTGACATTTATCACATATTGACCGACAAATCGTGTAGTCCTCGTTGATGCCGATCTTAAGATTGGATGTATAGTCATCGAGGGTCCAGCGCCTCTCTTTTGGACCTTCTGGCTGCCTGTTATCGGCTTCGATCTTGTTCTTTTTATCCTCACGTTGGTGAAGGTGATCCAGCATCAGCGGGAGGCCATTCATGGTCCGCTCGTCGACATCCTGCATCGTGACGGCCTCGTGTACTTCGCCCTGAGCTTAGGGTTGGGGATCGGCAACATGATCACCTTTGCATTAGCACCGCTTCATCTCAAATCTGTTGCATTACCGTAAGGAATGTCTATCGAAAATTGATACAAGCTGACGGCCGACGGCAGACTCATGACAGCGACCTTATGTGTGACATGCTCCCGGATGCTGTTGAATGTGCGACAGGTTGGCCATCACATTCCTTCGCCACCGCCGTCGGAAACTACGTTTGGATTTGGCAACGCAGAGACATTCGAGCTGGACAGTCTTCGTCGACGCCATCGCTCGACGGACTTTGCTGAGTTATCACCAACCAGCCCCACCCTGCCTTCTCCTCTACAACGCCCGTCCGACTGGCGTCGTAACATCCAGGTTGCTACGGAAGTGAACACTAATCAGCGCATGAATGGAACGATCGTCACGAGTAGTAGCGGGTCTAGTTCCGATGGATTTCATTTTGATTTACCGACTGCACCGACTGCCATGCATATCGGGGGCCGTGACAGGTCACTATCTCTTGCATCGACGGCATCTCCGCTTACCCCACCATCAACCACATCTGAGACGCCGTTTGCAATGCTTTGCGAGGAGCACGTAGTCCACATGGGATATGCCGTTTGAGTGATGAGCGCTGATTGGGTTCGGTGAGAATACTGCATTTACTCTTCTTCCATTTGCATGATGAAATGCGGACAGCAGCATTATTTGACAAGTGATATGACCATGATATCTCTCTGTATGATTCCTTGCATGAACCAATGATGCCCAATGTCGGCGTTTTCGCCGCGCCGCAGTAGGTCGGCGTCGGGCAGGGCTTTCATCACTGCACACTATGCGGCTTCTCCGAAAAACTTTGAGTTATCCATTCAGTTCGTCCCTTTCAAGCTCGGGCTAGTGGTTCTCGCTTACATAATCCAACCCACCGCATTTTCTAGCTTTGACTTTTTGGAACGTGCTGAGGTCGTGCGTTCAGCTATAAATAACGAGAATGTCATGGTGGTCGCCCTGTAGCAGGGAACACCCCAAGCACCAACCTTCTGCACAGTCGGGCGAAAGCGTACATATTAATTGTCTACGATCACTGGCAACACATGGCTGTTTCTGAAGACTGGGGCTCCTTGAGTGATCCCGACGTGATTGAGGCGCGCGATGTATACTACAACATTGGCATACGGCCTCTACCTAAAGATCGGTACGCCCAAGAACAATGGAACATGGCCCAGCTACACACTTGGTGAGTAGTTGCGATATACGGATCCATGTCGCTGATTTACATGTTATAGCGTGATGAACCGTCTGGAGGGAGTGTACAAGAACGCAACCCACATTGCACCTCACGACTTCCACAATTATTGGGCGGTCGCATACGATGCTGTGCACTTCCTTCATGAGCACCACGAAACTGAAGAAGGGCATTATTTCCCGTACTTCGATGGCGGGAACCTTATGATAGCGAACGAGAACCAGCACGCCGTTTGTTTTTTCTTTTCCTCCCTGCGAGACAAAGTATACTGACGAGCGGTGTAGGAGTTTGCAGAACCCATACTAGAGACTCTCGCTTATTTGGACAGCGTCAACCCCTCCAAGCCTGAGGCCCAGCCATTCTTCGCCTCCAAGTTCCGGGCGTCCGTTGATCGCTGGCTGGTCACCGCCGCCAAGCACATGGCCGCCGAACTTGGCACGCTTGATGCTGAACATCTCAAGCGATCAGGAGTGACGGTCCACGACATGGACACCGCTAAAGAGGACGTTGGCAAGCACACGATGTCCACCCAAGTTCTCAAATATAGTCTGCCAGCAATCATGGCCGCCGTGCCGCGGGACTTCGACTTTCCCCGAGAGCTGCCTTGGTGGGGGAAGTTTATTTTGACTCCAATGTTAGCATACTGCTTTGGGTATGGAAGGATGAAGTATTACTGGAACGCCAAGAGGTGGGAGAAGACGGCGCCCAACCCTCCTTCGTAATCATGGAGTTTTGTAACCTTTATCGCCGTATTACATACAGTATACACTACAGTATTCAGGCGCCTTTGCCTCTGATTACATCAGGCCTGCTTTATGGCATCCTTCCATGAGCTTATGGGCTTAAATATTCTAGACACGCTGAATCTACATGCTCTCTTCACGTGCGCACATATCATAGAGACAAGAAGTACTAATACTTCGATGGCCTGGTTGGTATGAAGGGTTAGGTGGTCGGTCCAGAAATCGGCATAGGCTCCCCCGTTCGAGATTAGAGAAAAACGCGATCGAGGGGTGACGTTCGTTTCCTGGAGCTTGAAGGCGTCTCAACATCGGTGTTCTAAGAGGGAATCGAAGAGAAGGATGGGTGTCTCAGGCAACAAAAGCCTTTGAGGGTGAAGCGAGCAGGTGTTGATCCAACGCGATTCCAACCAAGGATTTTCCGGTGCCCATCGGTTGAAGCGGGGGTCACTATCCAAAACCTTGAAAGCACGCTTAAGGCCGTAGCCAAGCACACCGGATAGATTCGGAGGACATGAAGTTCAGTTTGTCAGTGATGCACCATTGTGAGTGCGATTTTGCCCATATTTGAATACTGTGCGTGCTGGGGAATGATGAAGTGTTACTGGCACGCGAGGAAGTGGGAAAACATACCAGCTACATGATGGCGATGTGTTTGTCAGTTTTCATAGTAGAAGGACCACGCCGTATCATACCCTTGATATTTGATCATTGCATTCGGCTCATCAATCAGATGTGTATTGAGGGTTCCGTGAACCTCGGGCGGCATCGGCGTGTGTGTAACAAGACTTGATTCTAACTACATGCTAAACCGTGTGTAACGCGACGTCCATTCTTTGCGGGCCGGTCATTTTATAACTTGACAGTATACATAAATAAATATGGACGACGTGATCGGTGGCTGGTATGTACCAAGTCCTGCCCGCTTGCTATACTGCCTTCCAGCTCGCACTCATTCAAGTCACTAGTTCATCATGTCCACTGAAGACTGGGGCAGGTTCAACAAATCCAGTCGTGATTGAAGCTGAAGCAAGGTATCGCAAGATTGGCCTCCTCGACTGGAGACCTCTCCGGGGATAGGCCGTTCGCGTTCTAAGACCTGGAGATGAACCGACTCGAGGCGACATAAAGGAATCCGTGACCCATGTAGCACCAAACGACGCTTATTCCGTTTTTTTTCATCATTTTTCATGCATTTATGTACTGGATAGACAGGGACCATTCTGAAGAAAACTCAGGGCTGACAATAGATTGCGATTAGGCACGAGACTCGCATGCCCGCATTGGATCCATATAAAGACGCCGGCAAAAAAGTGGACATTCCTCGCCGCGCCGGTTGTTTGCCAGTTTTCCCCATACAGCTCAGGGCGCTGGCCCTGCCCCGGCCCGGGGAGTCAAAAGGGCGACGATAAACTCCATACAGTGCGCCCAGTCCTCAGAAGCCCCAGTCCAGGGCTCGACCCTGAGAAGGCACGATGAATAGAATATGGACAATAGACAATCGTTGCCATAGCGGAAGCATTCATTGCGCAGCCCAGGCGTTTGCACCCGTGTTAAACCCGTCAGGGTTGCTTGGAGACCGGCAAACCGGCAAGAGGGGGGGCTCCATGGGATGAACGAAAGTCCCCAGAAAAATTTGGAAGGAGGCGCGCCTTTTCGCTGGGTCTCGGGTGAGACGCGCCCCTCCTGGCGCTCGTCTGCTGAGCGGTTGATGGGTGCGAGGTCTGGTACAGGGGGGGGTTTTATTGGTAGATGAAGGTGGTTGGAGGGTATTGCGTGCTGGTTGCGCTCATGCATGTCTGCGTAGATGGCTTGCGGTGCGCTGTCCATGTTATGCATAGCCAGGTTGACTAGACGAGCGTTGCTTGGTGGGTTGCGCTTGTCTAGTGACTGAAATACAATGAGCGGTGCAAGCGCCAACTTGTAACTTGAATGCGAAGGTAATATTGGGCGGCCACAAACGCTGAAGTGATTGGATGATATGGATGATATTTGGGTTGTCTCGTTGCTTTTTATCCATTTATGATGGCGCTGCTTCTTTCCTTCTCGACGCGGAGGCAGATATGAAGGCAACCCCCTCGAGCCGTGTGTTCCCCTTGGAAATCTGTGTTTGAAAAGACTTGCGGATATTTCCCACGCGGCCTTTCCTCCGGTCGTAGCGTGACCCGCGTGGCAGTCATCCCAGAACGCTTCGACCTTCTCTTCCTTCCGTCCACAGCCGTCCTTTGCGCCTTTCTTCGCTCTCTTCCTTCCCTCTACTCCACGCTCTCTCTTCTCCCCTCGTCGTCGTTGTCGTTGTCCACCTCACACATATCCCCCACCTCGCTCTCCTCTTCCTAGAAACTGTCAGCGACCAGTCATCACCTTCTGACGCTGATCCCAACCTGTGCCTTTAGCATACTTGACCGATACCCGCTGTCCTATCACATTTCCCGCCATCTCACGCCCTACCTCCCACCAACCTTCCACCCTTACCCTGACAGTCTACCATGGGTTGTATGCAGAGTTCCCCCGTCGATTCTGAGGCGAAGGCCCGTGCGTCCTCTCAGTCTTTTTACGGCACAGAAGGATGTTGATTTTTGATGTAGGGAATGACGAGATCGAGAACCAGTTGAAGAAGGATCGCATGAATGCCAAGAACGAGATTAAGATGCTCTTGCTTGGAGCTGGTGAATCCGGAAAGGTGTGTCCTCTCCATCTATCTGTTGGATGGCTGGTGTTAACCTCCTGTAGTCCACCATCCTCAAGCAGATGAAGCTCATTCACAACGGTGGATACTCCGACTCTGAGCGGGAGTCATACCGTGAAATCATCTACAGCAACACTATCCAGTCCATGCGCACCATCCTTGAGGCGATGCAAGCGCTGGACATCCCGCTCAACCCGGCCAACGACGCTCGCAGGGACGTCGTACTCTCCCTTCCCAGCCAGCTGGAGACGGAGATGATGCCCCGGGACGTTGCCGATGCGATCCGTGGTCTCTGGGCGGATGATGGTGTGAAGGAAGCTGTGAGGAGAAGCAGGGAGTTCCAGCTCAACGACTCCGCTGTCTAGTCCGTGTTTTTTCTTTCCGTGGCTGGACAGCATGCTGATGTACGCGTGCAGCTACTTCAACTGCCTTGACCGGATGGCTTCACCAAGCTACCTCCCGACGGATCAGGATATCCTCCGCTCCCGTGTCAAGACTACTGGTATCACCGAGACGACCTTCAGGGTCGGTGAGCTGACATACCGGTTGTTCGATGTCGGTGGGCAGCGTTCCGAGCGTAAGAAGTGGATCCACTGTTTCGAGAATGTCACCGCCCTCGTCTTCCTCGTTTCTCTGTCAGAGTACGATCAGATGCTGTATGAAGATGAGAGCGTGAACCGTATGCAAGAAGCACTCACCCTCTTCGACTCGATCTGCAACTCGCGCTGGTTCGTAAAGACCAGCATCATCCTTTTCTTGAACAAGATCGACCTGTTTGCCGACAAGCTCCCCGTCAGCCCGCTCTCGGACTACTTCCCGGATTTCACCGGTGGCTCGGACTACGACCTTGCATGCGAGTACCTGCTCAACAGGTTCCTGAGCCTGAACCAGCAAGCAGCGACAAAGCAGATCTATGCCCACTATACTTGCGCTACTGATACCCAGCAGATCAAGTGTACGTCTGTCCACTTGGTCTTCTATTATCTTTGTGCTAATCGTTCCCCACACAGTCGTCCTCTCGGCCATACAAGACATCCTCCTGCAGCTCCATCTGCGGGAATGCGGTCTGCTGTAAACCTTTCTCTCGCTTTGCTTCTAGGGTCACATCAGGTCGTTTTATTATTCCATCCCGTACTCTCCTATCGTCTATACCTATCCATCCCCTTCATGTCCTTTCTTGCTCTCGGAGCCCTCCAACGACAACGGTACATCGCCAACCCAGCGCGGCCCTTGTACGCCTACTCTCGTTTTGCTTAATTCACCTCCCTCCCGCCTCAGCACCGGAACCGAATCCAACAACGAAAACCGTTTGCCAGCCTCCCCTCTTGCCTCTTGCCACGTTCTCTCCCTATCCTATTTCCTCTGTTTCTTGGTACATGACTGCCCTGCCCATACCCCTGTCGACGCTACGTATCTCTTCCTGCCGCTTCGCAGACGGGGTGTGGCATGTTGTATTTGGCTGAGAGGATGTCGAATGCAATTGGGGTTTGAAATACACTGCATTGGGTGTGTGTGTGTGCACGTGTTTACGGGGGGTGTGACAATGAGAATCTGTTGCGTGAATGTGTTGATGCCTCCTTTGATCACGCGACATTGGACATGAAATGTTGAGTCTTCCGCCCCCGATGAGTACACTTCCTCATGCAAATTAGATCTATAAGCCTTCTAACCGATGCGCCTCCAAGATCCCCCTGAGCCGCTGTGCGGATATCTGCGGTGATAGAGAACTGTGCTTTTTACGCCAACATATGAGACATTTATTGCTTTTTACGCCAACACATGAGACATTTATGGCAATGCCTTGGCCTTCGCCACAAACCACATACCTCCTCACCACAAACCAGTCTCCAGACATTCCCCTATAAAAGCCCCGCTCGGAGACAGGTGGAATGGCATCGCTGGTTCTTGTTTGACGATGAAGTTCTCTGCTGAGTATTACGACGACGCCTTCGAGGTCGCCCGGGTTGATGAAGGGCTTGTACATCCGAATGCTAGTCTGAACCCGTTGAAGCGGCTGGCGAGACAGTGTATGGAGAAGGCCAAGCTTCCGGGTGCTTGGCAAGAGAGTGCCGCGGTCCGTGTTCAGAACGCGAGCGATGAAGATGAAGATGAAGACATGGACGCCGTGGAAGACTTGGTGGACGGTATGATTTCTGTTATTCCGATTGGTCAACGCCTGACGACTATCCGTCTAGATTCTGACACGGATCGAGAGGATGAAGACGAGATGACCGAGTGGAATTCGAATCCCTGTAAGACCTCAACCAGACATTTAATGTGCTCAAAGAACTCACATAGCTGCCTGCAGATGCTCTGACAGAAGAGGAGTACCAGCTGCGCCTCAAACAGCTCAAGCATTCGGAGGATGAGGCATGGGAACGTGCACGCCAGATACTAGCAGAAGTCCGCGCTCAGTACAAGGATACGCCAGATGCGGAAGGTGCGATCTTGCCATATTCACATTTGTCGTCGTCTAATGTCTGCATAGGCATCTCCGAAGATGAAGATGCCGACGAAACTGATGCTGGTACGTCTCCCGGCGCTTTCCCTTTTCACGGTCTGATATGTATCCATCTAGACTCCGACATCGAGTACGAGCACGAACAACTAGATGATTCCGTCAGCGAAGCCGGTACGTTTTTATCCCACACGCTGTACCGTTATGGTGCATTCTAACATCTCTCAGACTACTTCTTCGGTGAGACCCAGATGGACAAAGAGTTCGACATGCTCTTGACAGTCATGCGTCCATTTCCGCATCCCAAAAAGCTCGCCCTTGCCCTGAAGGGACTGAGCCAAGTACGAGATCCGTTCTCCCTCAGGCGCCTGCCGGGTCATATAAGAAGGCGACATGCGAACATGTCACCCCCTCATATCTCGTGCATGCCTTTTCCGTATGCGGTGTTGTCTGACTATACGGTGTGGCCGGATGGTGTCTGCCCTGCGTTCAGACTGGGGATTCCTTAGAGGTGCCTCTTTCTGCAGGGTGTGGGGAGATGGAAGTTGTGCCTCCAAGCTCTGCATGGACGGTGAATACCAGACGAGAGGAAGGAAGAGTGGAGCGCTCACTGAGCCCGGGGATGACGCACTGTCCTTCTCTTTTGTGACCGATTTCTGTTTGTCGATTTTGTTGCCTCGGTTAGCCACATACTAGACAATACTTCACCTAATCGTTCTACGATACTTTTATTTCCTGTACAGCCTGGCTTCCCCTTGAGATACGTGCATTGTAATGATAACGTACCCTCCAGGTGCTAATATTCCATGAACATATCTTACAAGACAACGCCAGAATGGCCTTGACTTGCCCTCCGGGTGAGCCCATATGCATGCGCAAAAGGATTCCGTTAACCACTCTGTACTTCGAGACAAGTCATGAGTTCCCGCAGAGAAACTACACCCAGGAGTTGCCGACCGCACAGAGACCAAGATACCAATAGGGGGGTAGCAGCCAGACAGTGGAGGAACATAACCCAATATCAAGCAAGGAACAGAAACGCAAGAGCATCCTGTTTCGGATTAGTATCTTCCGGACGTTCCGCCCAATGTCCAGGTCCACGTGTCTTTGTAGGGCCACCCGAGGAACCAAGGTCAGAGGGCGCAACAGACAAACAACGAAGAGTGGTCAGCGACTCGACGGGCAGGCGAATGGATGTATCACGTGGTCACCGGATGCTGAAGCCTGGCGCCATTTGTGGTTAGACGTGCCCCCACCAAGGAGGGGAGCAAAGGATCAGGATCGGAGATGTAGGAGTTGTCTCTTCAAATATCCGTATTTTGAACAGATCTCGACACAGATCCGCTCCATGAAGTTGCTGAAAGTCCCATCATCCACGTGTGAGAAGGCAGGATGACTGAAATAGCCTCGATCAGTTCTCACTCTGAACGGTTGTCATAAATCGCAGAGATTTGCAATATTATGGTCATTGCGATTTTGGCTGTACATTGGCCGACCCTGCCGGTCGTTTCTACCCAACGCCTATACAGATTCTACGCAATACTTTAGTGAAACGCAATGACAGTGTGGCAGAGACGGGCGAACCTTGGAGGAGCGCGTTCAACCGGTTGACACGGTTAGATACGCTGAGATCAATCGTCTTGTCGCCGAACTCGACGATGAGACCGCCGAGAATACCAGGGTTCACCTGAAGCTCGATCAGAAGATAAAAGAAGAGATAGAGCAGCTTGCATACCTTGTTGGAGACCTTGAGGGTCTTCGAGTCCTTCGCTGCCTGGCTCGCCTTCATCGCGTTCTCGAGACGCTTCATGATTTCAGGGGTGAGGGGCTTATCGCTTGTGACGATGACCTCAAGCTCTCCCTTGTACTTGTTGACAAGCTCCTTGAACTCCTCTGAGACACCCTCGAGCTCCCCGAGCCTTCCATTCTCGCTCATCACCTCCAGTAGGTTCTTTGTGATCTTGTCCGCATCCTTGCGTGTACCCCAGAGCTGGTCCAGCCCCTTCTTGCGGTCGCCAGCAGATAGGGTGGGGTTTTGAATCAGATCGAGCAGCTGTGGCTGTTGCGGCAGCTGAGTGACGATACCAGCCAGGTCAGTTTGGACCTTGCTCAGCGTCGCCGGTGAGACCTTGAGCGCTGCACCATAGGCTGCCTGGGCATACTTGATTGCGATCTGCGATGCGGCCCGGCGCTGCAGGGTGGTGGAGATGACGTGTGCAGCGGGGCGAGCGGCCGAGGTAAGCAACATCATGGTCAGGACGAGAGGAGGGAGGAGGACGTTGATGGCGACTTGCTCGTTGTCAGTGAATGCTCTCGGAGCAGATGTCTTCCCGGATTGGAACGGGCGGAAGCAATTAGGTGACGCACTCAGTGGCGATGAGGGCGGTTTAGGGCAAGCTAGCGGAGGCAAATCGAAATTTCAGTTGATAAATCGTGTACCCTTTGATTGAACGGCACAACGCAGTGTGACTGCAGTCATAGACATACCCATCTACTATTGACGTCCTAGTCGACTCGCATCCATAAAACGATCACTGCTTAACTTGACCAATCTCTTCACTACCAAGTTATAAAGTATGTCTCGATTCTTCAGAGCTGCAGACAGCGACACGGAGTCCGAGGAGTCGTCCGAGGAGGAGTTGCTTTCCGGAGAGGAGGAAGAGCCAAAGCCCAAGCCCGCCGCCCAGGCAGGGCCGAAAATAGGAATGTCACGTTTCCTGCGTACAGCGGGCGACGAGTCGGAGGAAGAGTCTTCTGAGGAGGAAGAAGAAATGTCAGAAGAAGATGAGGAGGAAGACGACGAAGCTGCTCAGACGAAGAAAGTGCCCGGAAGTAGGTTCCTGAAGGGTGCTGAGAGCGAGTCCGAGAGTGAGGAGGAAGAGAAGAAGATCGTCAAAAGCGCCAAGGATAAGCGCGTAGAGGAGATCGAAGGATGCGCCAAGAGCATGGACAACGCGCTCAAGATCAACGACTGGGTGAAGATTCAGGATGGTGCGCATATATCGACTTTTTTCCGGCGCATTATGCTAACGCAGTTGTATAACAGAGTTTGACAAGCTCCTTCGTCTTGTGCAACGGCAAGCGCTCGTGAACGAGGCCACCCCACCGCTCTACATTAAGACGCTCGTCGACCTGGATAGCTCTATGAACGCTGCTCTTGCCAAGGAGAAGACCGCCTCCAAAAAAATGCAGGCCAATAACGCTCGTGCCCTAAACGCAATGCGGAGCAAGCTGCGCAAAACACTGAAGGAAAACGAGGAGCAGATCAAGGTGTACACGGAGGATCCCGAGGCTTTCGAGCGTGCATACCAAGCGCAACAAGCGCCGCCCGAACCTGTCGCTGCACCCGCAAAAGCACGTAAAGTGCGTGTTGAGTTGGACGAGGTGGAAGCTGGTGCTGCTGGGGGCGATGACTTCACCACCGTTGGCAAGGGCGGGAAGGCGCTCTCCTTCACGGCAGACCAGGTGCTGAAGACCCTCGCCTCCGTCGCTGAGGCGCGAGGCAAGAAAAATACCGACCGGGCAGAACAGTCGCGCATCCTTGACAAATTGGCGGAGGTGGCGGGCACGACCTACCAACAAATACGGGTTTTCCTTGCACTCGTTAGCTCCAGGTTCGACTACAACCCCATGGCGTCCTATATGCCACTTGATGCGTGGGCGAGCGCAAAGACGGAGATCGACAACCTTGTCAAGATCCTCATGCGTGACGCTCAATATGCAGTGGTGGAAGACCTCACTCTCGAGTACAACGACCTGGACGACCGGTCCCCACAGAAGGAGGACGGCCTCGTTCGCATCAGGGGCAGCATCATCAGTTTTGTCGATCGGCTAGACGACGAGTTCACCCGCAGCTTGCAGAATATCGATCCGCATGGACAAGAGTATGTGGAGCGGCTGAAGGATGAGCGGGGTTTGTATGAGACTATCTGCCGCGCGCAGATGTACTTTGAGCAGAAGCAGGTGGGTGAGAACGCGGCTCGGATCGCTTATCGGAGATTGGATCACATTTATTCCAAGGTGAGGACATACGTTGCTGGTGTGCTTTTGGCGCTGATTGTTTTTTTTTTCAACAGCCGGACATCCTGATTCAGGCGCTTGAACAAGACGTTGCTACCGCCATGCCCGACTTCCCCCGCTCTTCGAGCTCTTTGACTTCCGCCGGCTCCAGTGCCGCACTGATCGATTCCTTGTGCAAACAGCTATACAAGTCTGGTCAACCCCTGCTCCGCACACGCGCAATCCTTTCCCATATCTACCACCATGCTCTTGCCAACAACTTCGAGACAGCACGGGATATGATGCTCATGTCCCACTTGCAGGACAGCATCCACGCCACCGACGCCGGCACGCAGATCGTATACAACCGTGTTGTCGTTCAACTCGGCTTGGCTGCGTTCCGGCAAGGTCTAGTGCGCGAGGCGCATTCTATCCTGCAAGAAATCTTCTCCACACAGCGCGTCAAGGAGCTCCTTGCCCAAGGTCTCCACCAACAGCGGTACGGTGTCGTGCTCACTCCCGAACAGGAGAAGGCAGATCGTGCTCGTCAATTGCCTTTCCACATGCATATCAACTTGGAGCTACTCGAAGCCGCGTTCCTTGTCTCCTGTATGCTGGTCGAGGTCCCTACGCTTGCAAGTCTCGATACGGAAGAGCAGAGGCGAAAGGCCGTCAGCAAGCCCTTCCGCCGCTTGCTTGACTACGCAGATCGGCAGGTGTTCATGGGCCCACCCGAGCACACACGAGACCATATCATGCAGGCGAGCCGTGCGCTTCAGGACGGCGAGTGGGAGAAATGCCGCGATCTGATCCAAGGGATGAAGGTCTGGAGCCTCATGGGTAACGAGAAGCAAGTCAAGGAGATGCTAGCCCAACGTATTCAGGAAGAGGGCGTGCGTACATACCTCTTCACCTTTGCGCCGTACTATACCACCGTCTCCCTCGAACTCCTGTCCAAGACTTTCTCCCTCCCCGTCCGCTCTGTCACGTCCATCGTCAGCAAGATGATCTGGAACGAGGAGCTGGCTGCGTCCCTCGATCAGGAGACGGGCGTCGTCGTATTCACTCGTACTGAGCTTACACGGGTGCAACAACTTGCACAGGCCTTGTCAGAGCGTGTCGCAAACCTCGTTGATGCAAACGAGAAGGCACTGGACCTGAAGCTGGGCGGTGGCATAGAAGGCCGTGGCACGGGCGAGGCAGGAAAGACTGGAGAGCGGAAAGAGGGTGGCACCGCCGGTACTGGAGAGCGGAGATTTGACCGCACACGTACTCAACGAGCGGGTGCTACTCGCGGGACTGGGTTCAGGGGAGAGCGATTCTCTCAAGGACTGGGAAATCGGGTGGGTGGTGCACAGAATGCGGGTGCCAGAACGAGGGTTGCTGCATAGTCTGGACGAGTGTAATGACATGTGCATACTTTTCTATTCCTTTCATCATGTTATGCATGCATTCAACGCGTGGGATCATTCTTCTACAGACCACATCTGGCGGCCTTTATGGTCCGTTTGCGTATTGCTCTATGTGAGAGTGGGGCCGCCAGCCACCTGTGCGAAGTATTCTTGGTTCTGTATCCTTCGTCATTCCCGGGCATGACTAGAAGACAGTCACACTGTTCATGAGAAGGACACAGAATCCGTCAGGGCTGCGACGAACATATATCCCAACAGCCTCCTTCTGCCAGTGATACAGCAATGCTTGACAAACCGATGGATGGATCGACTGTCAGTACAAAGGCAGAGAATTTGCAGTTGCAACTGGTTACAGTTGCCAGTTGCAACTGCAAAGTCTCTCTCACCCATTCACCTAAAAGACACACACCACCGCTTTTCGATCAAAGGGCGCTCTGACAAGCTCGTCCCCACCAAAGTCTGGTACGGCACCAATGTGCGCTCATATTACCTCCAACTGCCCAATCTTGGTTCCCTTGCCCCCGCTCCAATCATCAGCCGCAGCGAGTTCGTACCCACATCACTCCTTGCCCACCTCATGCGAAATAAGAAGGATCGTGCTATTGGCGTCAAGTTCGAAGAAGGGAACAACCCGCCAGATGCAATCACCAACATGGAGGGCGCACTTCATACATACATCACGCCGATCGTTCTTGCCACAATCCATGGCGATTACACGTACCACGGCGGGAGGCATATGATGCTTCATTTCCCACGTCTCAACGGAAAATTCGATCAGGCCCGTCAAGTCATCGTCTCCGCACTCGTTCAACCGGACTTTGAAGATGATCAGGTCATGCTCCGCTTGGCCGCACTGACAGATGTGCCGATCCTCGGCGTTCCCCTTCCGGTCGAGTTTAAGCTACTGTCAGTACAAGACAAGCAAAACGAAACGTACCGAAATGCATACGACTTCATGCTCAGGTCACATATGATCCACTATCTTGTTGCTAGCCATGTACTTCCCCGCATGCTAGATGTGCATGACCAAGCAAGGACGATAGACGAGGCTACCGAGGCTTTAGAAAGGTGGATCCTCAACCCTGCGGCAAAGCCAGAAGAAATCCAAGACGAATTCGTTCATCTCCATTCGGGAGAAATACTGTCTCTCGAGCTTTTGTACAACAGTGCGATGCATCAGCTGCAGAATGAGCTCTCTGTTCTGGAATCGTACTTCTCGCAGGGTTACGTGTACACGTTTGACCCGCCAGCGATCTTCGCCCGCAGGTTGGACGCGACCTTGCTCAACAGACTGTGGATCGCAGCGCTCAAGACACTAGCATCCAATAACGTTTTGGCCAATATGCGCGTTGTCGCATTCAACGACTATGCGGACCCACTGGTGTGCAAAAAGCTGGTCCCTTTGGCGCTGGCAAGCCAGAAGCACGTCACAGTCCTGCAGAAGTCTGCGCTCTTCATTGGTCCGGGTGCTGGGTATGTACCACCCAAAGGCGCAGTGGGTGCGATGCTGGTGATCCACAATAACAGCGATGGTTTCGGACAGAACATTGAAACTGAGGCACCGGGAGGAAGCATGGATGGCGCGATCGGCGCTTTTTCCAGCACTGCGGCGTCGTTGAGACGAGATCGAGCGGATTTGTTGAATCACCTGATGTAGATTCTAGCGCGCTTCATTTAAACATGTACAGGTGTCAAGCCAAGATATATATATATCCACTACGACCGACATCCGCGCATTGCTTCTCGTCCCTGTCGGCGCATACATCTTCTTCTCGACCTCCCAATTACTTTTTACAATGGACATCGACCAGGAACTCGACCGTGCCAACTCTGCCTTCACCGACATCACCGATGACTTTGACCCGACTCAGTTAACGGGCACCATTTCTTCTGTTCCCCCCGCCTCCTGCAGTTGACGACTTTGAATGGGGCTTTGATGCATCATCCGCACCTCCAGCGGCTGTCAAGATCACGGGAGATGATGAAGTCGAGAAGTTCGATAACCAGTTCCCGGAGCTGGATGATGCACCTTCCGTATGCAAAACTTTTGATCAACTTGAGAACGTCTTTGACATTTCTGAATGTATGCAGTTCCAGCCCATGGCTCCTGCGCAGCCCACCCTTCGCCCGTCATTCTTAGGCGGTGCCCCTGTTGCGGCCCCATCCGCACCTGCTATGTCATTGTCTCCCGCTCCTGGTATGTTCAGTCAGGAGAAAGATGAGGAAGAGCCCGAGGTGATCAAGTGCGCTCCTGGTATCTCTGCTTCACCCGTACCTCCATTTACCCTTTGATTTTCCTAGGCAATGGCGCGAGAAACAGGCCGAACAGATCACCTGCGCGCTGCCTTATCTTGACGCTCCCAATCAAGAAGGCTGAGGAGAGCATTGACCAGTTCTACGAGGACTACAACTAGCAGAAAGAGAGGGACATCCGGGAGAACAAGTTCGGTCTTCCCGTGTCACTTCCGTACTGTCTGCTAACACTATGCATCACAGGGAAAATGAAGCTCAGTACCTTGATGGCCTCAACGCGTCCCTTTCGGAAGGCACCATGTGGTCGTCGCTCATCGAGCTTGAGAACTCGCAGAGCAAAACCCTTGCTCGTGCTGGTGCTGGCACGACGGATCTGAGTAGGTATAAGGAGGTGCTGTTGAGACTGAGGAGGGAGGGCGACAGGGTTCTGGTGCTGCTGGCTACTAGACGGTGAGATAGTTGCATGCGCTTGGCTACGTTTGTCTTCCTTATACATTCTCAAAATGCGACCCTTTCGTTGTCTCTCTATGTGTCGAGTTTGCGCCAAGAGTGGCAGTGCAGGACCCTTGCGCAGCCTTAAGGCACGGGAATTTGATTCCATGAGACTATCTATGTAGCCCATATGTATATAGGGACGGATTGGCCTGCGGCAGGCCAATCCACGCCACGTTATCTATTCTCCCCTAATCGACGACTCGACATATGACACTGTACCCTGGTGTTACAACGTCTTGACCTGCCTTAGGACGGGCAAGATAATTCCCGTGTTGGTTATCCACCCCCGTCCGTTCATGTTGTGCAAAACCATCTGCGTCGCAAACTCTGGCGATGTTGTCGCGCAAATATCAGTGACCATGATCGTGTCGTAGCCCTTGAATGAATAGTCCTCCATCGTTCCCCAAACGCACTGAGCTGTGTTGACTCCACCAAAGAAGAGGGTCGTGATACCCCACGTGGTTCCCTCATCACAATGATATCCTCAATCCATCTTTCCTGTGTATTATCTCTCGGACTTCTCCAGCTCGCTGGAGGAGTCCATCTCGATTCTCTTCATTTGACCTAGTTTTTGGTACCCTAGAAGATGAAGTCTACCGCTCAGTATTCCTACATTGTGTCTTCTGCGTCTCCCGTCGTCGAAGAGATCACACCAGAGCCTACCCCCGAGATAGAGGATTCAAGCCATGTTGCAGATGCCTCTTCAATGGGACAAACGGAGAGCCCTCTGGGAACCTTCACCAGGCAGACGCATGATTTTGGCCTTGTATTCGCTTTTATACTTGATTCAGAAGGTGCTCTGCTTACATATGACCCAAGTTCTTCGTAGACGCTGTGCACCGACGGCTCCAATATCGAGCTGTTACTTGGAGGAAGATCGACTCAGAGACTGCATTGTTTTGCGTTAGCGTATTGCAGGCTATCGTGGCTGAAGTGCTGGAGATGACAGGTCAGTTGGTCTTCAGAGAGCGCTGATGCCCCGCTCACACCATGCAAAACACAGGAGATATTGCACACCGTGCTGGTCATAAAACCATCAAGGCCATGCATTTGAAATATGCCTTTCAAGAAGATGAAGCACTTAGCACTCTCAAGCAAGCAATGGGCTGCACCGTGGTTGGTATGTTGTCCACACGACGATCAGGTATTCGAAAATTGATTGTGTGCTTTGCCAGACGCATGTGCCAATCTGGATGAGAGCATTGAGGAAGAGCACATCGACATCAAGCTAAGAGATACCCCTCCTGTTCAATCTGAAATTGTATGGGACAACATATCAACGAGAATTGGGCGCGGAGTCAAGCTGCTAGGACCACAGGGGGAACCGGTACCATCGACTGTCCCATACAAGAGGGATACTGAGGATTACCCACCGCGAGCACAGACGCATTCAGGGAGAACATTTCCCACCACGATCCTGACGGCATGGCAGACCTCCAGTTGGGGTTGCCTCGACGCGTTACAACCGATGAGACATTTCTTCCAGCGAGCGGCGCCTTCACCGAGAATAGCCTGGGGAATAACAGCAAGGAGGGCGTAAGGGAACTCGCAATAGTGATAAAGTACATTGTCTAGTAGCTTTTAGTGTCTCCTAGCTTAAGGTATCATTAGTGAGGGGTATTACGTCGTAGCACTTCGAAACAGCGCTTATGGTAAACTAATCCACCCAATCCAATAACCACGTCATCAGGGCCGCGACCAGGTTCATCTACCGGAGCGGCAGCACCATTCGCATGGCCGTTGGCGATCGAGGCCTGCATTGTGCCGGCTCGCGTTTTTGGTTCTGGCGGATGCAAGGGTCGGCCGCAGAAATCGCAATTTCCAGCCTTGGCCGGCCAGCCTCGTCTTCGATATCGTGTCTTCTCTTCCACTGCGCTGAAGAGATCTTGACCAACCAGCTGTCCCACAATGCCAAGTGTGTCCGCTTCAGAACGATAATGGCTGAGCATGCCAGTCAAGATAGTCCGAAATTCAGAATACGTAGATGCGTGATGCGTTGCTGATACGGAATCTACGAGGCGTGCAAATAGCGCGGGGAACGATAGTGATGTAGATCGTGAGGTTGGCGTGGAAATCAACTTCACTAGCGTCTCTTGCACTAACGCACGCAGTGACTCCAATAAGGAAGAATGGTTCTCCTCAGGGATGTTTCCGATTGACGCAGCCTTAGGAGATATAGCTGTTGACACCAATTGCACGATGTTCACTTCACTGTACAGAAGACGGAACCACATTTCTTCGATGTGGAGTCCAGCAGTCGACGGGTGTTGCCCTCGTTCTTGGCATATCCGCAAGCCCATCGCGGTAGTGGCTCGCAATTGAGAGACGTATTTGTCCACTTGGATACCGTTCTCAAGTTCTTCCGGTCCAGATTCTGCAAGATCCGCGAGCGCATTCGCTTGCTGAGCCATAACAACCTCCAATCGATCTAGGGCCTTACTCGGTCGACCCTCACGATTGAGAGACCAGATCTCGATGTCATACAAGCCTCGTTCGTTACAGGTCTGAATGATCTCCTGTAGGTTCAGAAAACCACTCGGCAGTGCATTGATGGCACGTATAATACCTCCAGCATCGTATTCGCAGAGCAGCTCCACATATAGATGCCGTGCAGTAGAATCGACATGTTCCAATCTTCGCTTCCGGGGTATGTGATCATCATCTATACCTTCCAAAAGGTTTGGCTCGAGCAGGTATCGCAAGTACGCAAATTGCTGATAGCTCCGCGGAGGCATTGCCTCCAACACCCGCGCATGATCGGATTGGAGATGATTATCGACCAAAACAGCAGTTTCATATATACTGGAGTGGAGAAGACGGGGAATCGATTCCAAGATCATCTGCCGCAGTTCATCGGGTAAGACACCATTGCACGCCTTTGCCGTTCTGATTATTGTCTTGTCCAGACTTGCGAAAAGTTCTTCTCGCGGAAGGTCTTCGTCTCGCAGGTATGTCGACAGCAATGAAAGCCACTTTCGTTCCTGCGAATATATCGAGCGCAGAATGCGATAGAAGCCCGCTCGCTCGAAAACATCGACCAGCCGATCGCCGTCGTGCGGAGTATATGCGGATAACAGATACTCCGAAGCAAGTTGACGATCTTCCCTTGTACCGACATCAGGGTCACTTGCGAGTTCTAGCAGCAGTCGATCGTAGGTGCTTGGCGTGACACGCACAAACTGAGGATACTTCGGCGCGTTTCGTGCGATGAAAATACGGACGAAGGTGGCATCCTCTGGTTGCAGGTCGTGCAGATGAGCGATATCAAGAAGAACATTGATGATGAGCTGCCGGTTCACACCTTGTCCATCGTCGTTGAGGTATGAATCTTCGAAAGCCAGGTCCAACGTGTGGAGGAACGCCTCGGCATCGAATGACAAGAGCATTCGCAAATAGGGGTAGCTGATCTCTAGACCATCATCATCTACAGTCACGACCAAATGCCCACTTTCTCCCGGGGAAGTGCGACCGAAAAATAGAAATGCGTATACCATCCGTTTTGCATTCGTGGCATCATCTTCGTCCATCTGTCCGTTGCTCGGGTATTCCACGCCGGTCAGGACGTCACCCAGATAGGCGTAGACCTTGTACGCGTGGGTCATCATAGTCTCAAGATCCATGTGGGAGACGTTAAACTGATATGTCCCGCCAGCCTGGAGCAAACGGATCTCATGGATGAGAAGCAGAAGATCGACTATTGGCGTCACATAGTCCTTCAAGCAGTTTGTGTACACGTAAACGAGGGCGTCGCAGAGTTGCTGATCGCGACAAAGGTGGATAGCTTGGTTGATATCAAGGGACAACGGATCGATGTGCCAGATCAGGGCTTCGGCTCGGCCGTACTGCTCGTTCTCCTCGTGTACAGCAATTAGACGCTGAGAGATATGCGGTGGGATGGTTCGAATCCGTCCATCAAGTACAAACGGCTCAAGTTGTGCGAGATATATGCCATCAATCCCCATATCTTGATAGCGTTCGTAGAGATCATTGAAGAGGAAGTCATTGTCACCTAGCGTGAGACAGGCTTCCGCGCAGGTGCTGACCATCTTCTCGAATAACCAGGTCCGATCCACACCGCGGCCATCAGGGGCGTCGTGCGTTGAGTCATGCATTCGGTCCTCCGAAAAAGCAAACGAGGCGGAGGCAACCATCAGTTCCGACATCTTCTGACCCACGACCTGACGAAGGGTATCTGCATCTTCAGGTAATCCGGCTTTGTTGCCAGTAGCCTCTCCTGTTAAGTAGCTTCGACAGAGGTCGATCGCGCTGAGGAAATCACCTTGTTTGATGAACATTAAGATATGATCGGTCCATGTCAAGAGCGATCCGGCACGCACTGCCTTCGCACCCTACACGGCTGTCAATGTTGGTTCGGCACTAATTTGCTTTCCTAGTGCTCACCAGAAGGAATAGTTTCCCCTTGTAGGCCCTGATACAATGAGATGGAGTGCTGATGGCGGCCTGTGGATCTGGTGCCCAGCGGTTGGCTATGACATATTCCGAGGGTATTGCAGTCCGCTCGATGGATATCATCTTTTGTACGTCGATCACATCCACGCCTTCCGAAGTGAACACAAGTAGTTGCTGATATTTCGTGGTTCAGTTTCGAGACTGTGAGGTGACACAGAAAGCCATACCATCTGATTCAACCAAATGATAGCCACTATATCCCCGTCCGCACTCCAGTTCCCGACTTGCTCGAATGTGACCTTGCCGATCTCATCCACCTTTCGTTCATCCTTTGTCGCTGTTTTGCTTCTAGATAGCCGCTCCTCGTTCACCCTCATCAAAATCACGGTATTTCCCCATGAATATGCCAACACCGGCCTGCTGGATGCTTGCGGTCGTTCTTGTAATGTTCTACCTTCAGTGTGCTTGCTATCCGCAAAGCTTGGGAACCATGCTAAACAACCTGCATAAAGAGACGGGTTCTTCTCTGATGAATCAACGTCGCGGTGATGTCGAAACCATGTTCGTGGGGAGGGACGAAGACCCACAACAATCAGCTTCACTGGTGTGAGGATAGCAATCAAGTTGTATGCTTCTGTTGGGTGGGCGGCTGGGCCGAGTGGAAGTGCAGACATCGACAGAATGGTGCTTCTCGACCGAATCACGGGTGTGGTGGCGCCGGACGTATGTCTTGCAGCAGTTGCGTGAATCTCATCGGGGTATCGACCCAATATTCGAAGCACATCGCTCGCTTCTATAAATAGCACCTTGCCAAGGCTGTGATAGAATGCAAGCCCACTCTTATCGGCCGAAACAAGGGCGGTGTGTCGCGCACCAATGAAGCTAAGATGAGTGATGGATGACCCCGCTAGATGGCCTTCTTTCTTGCCAGATGCTACCGCGCTCATCGTTGTAGGCGGGACAGTTCGCGCCGGAACTTGATGTCGGGCAAGGTCATACAGATATATGTGACCTTGTGCATGTCCAACTGCAAGGAACGTGTGATCATGAGAAAGTGCAAGGGCTGTAACAGCTCCCGCTTCTTTTCCTGGGCTGGATCAGCACAGGTTCATGCTACGGCACCACTGGACGTACCAGAGGTTTCGTTTCCGCATGTACACCTCAAATGCTGTCGAAAATCGAAGACGTGGGTCATTCCATCCGTCTTTCCAACGCACAGTAGTCCGTTTGCTACAATAGCTGTTGGAAGACTCGTCGACAGTCCGAGAACGGCAGATGGCTTGGACGAGGAAGGAGGATATATGCGCGTGCTGAGCGCGTGTAGGATATTCCACCGGAAAGGTTGCCGTGGATTTGGGACTTGCGAACTGGTTACGCTGCTCTTCTCGTGCGACACATCGTCAAGTCTTGTCGGTGTCGAAGCACGGGATACGTCCGAAAAGTGCGAAAGCGCCGGTGATGCACCATTCGGCAGGGAAAGAAGGGTGTCCATGCTGTTCATACTTGATGATGAAACAAGCCGGTGGTGGACGGGTTGGTGGGAGCGAAGACGTGACACGCTTGGGTGAAGGAACGCCGGCCTCTGCTTGGATGGAGTTGCTGTTTCAGACGGCAGAACCATTAGGGAGGTGGTGTCGGACGGCGATGGTGGGGATATAAGCGGCGCTGGAGCAACGATAGGCGGCGCGGTGATATCGACACCCTTGCGAACGACGTTGTCCGGCAGTACTTCATCCTTCATCTTGGTCAGCAAAGATTTTTGGCGAGTATTGGATGACAGACCATAGCGGACGGCAGGTCATCCTCATCCAACATCCCTTCAACTATGTCGGCCTCCTTTTCCGAGTCGTCCAGTCCCATGGCCACTCGCATTCTCTCTGCATAGTTTCCTGTGCCAGGCTCGGGCGATGGAACGTCTTTCCAGTGGTCGCCGAACTCCTCCTCACCGTCCTCTAGCAAGTGCTCTTGCTCTTGGTCGTCGCTCAGGACCTCGCTGAGATGTGTCGAGTAGTCGGCGCTTGTGTCCGCAAAGTACGACATGTCGATATGATCAGGCTCCGATAATTCACCTATATTGTCTGAGACGCCGTTCCTATGGTCGTGCGATTGTGCATGGCTTGTGTCGGCGGGAGTCGAGAGAGACGGCACATCGGGACCGGAGTCGTCCATCAACGGCATTCCCGACGCGGAAGGGAAAGTGGGCATGTGCATACAACGACTGCGGGCCCTAGTCTCACTAAGGCTGTGTTGTTCAACTTCTCATGATGATCAGAATCCGACAATATCATTGCCATTCAACAATGACCATCTCCAATATTATTCCGATTATTCCGCTAATCGAACGACTCCCATCACTCCTACTGTACGAAGCAAGGTCTTTACTCGAACCTCGTATGTAAATATATTCTTACTCACCTAAATAATGCATTTGTCTGTCCTCCTAAACGTGTCATAGCGAGGCTCTTCTATCTTTTCACATGTTTTCCCTAATCGCCAGTTCGTCCGTGCACCAGAGTGTCACAGTTTTCTTAGAAATTACATCCGATGGGAACGAGCTCCCTGATACATTAAAGGTTGTGATGTTTTTGTTCATTACACTTTCAGCTGAACTGACGCTTAGGGAAGTTGTTCCATCCAACAATGGGCCTTGTGTTACGCAATTCCCCAACTGATCACATTCTATCTTGAGCGATATTTGATCCTCGGGACACCGCGCGGTAGTTAGAATCCTCTGTTAATGGATATCCCCTTTCAGACGAGTGGATAACTATGGCAAGATATCCACCGCTTCCTTATGGCCTGATCGAACTTCGTCAAGGTTGGGTCTCTCCAACATATTATTCTGTGGTCGGCCAACCTCATCGAAACGGTCCGGACTATACCGAAGATCACAGGTGTTTCCGAAATAGATTAGTGAGGTACCGCATTAATGTTTTACCGGCAATCTCTGACAGATGCAGACAACAAGGGTCACCACATATTGAACTGTTAGGCATAACCATATTCCATTCGATCTTCCTTTTCACACGCAGTTGTGCAGAGAATACAATGCACAGTACAACGAAGCATAAGCATACTCGTCCAATGGAGCTCGGGTCGCTCACTTGCGCTGGCCATCTGTTTAACCATATCAGCCCAATGCCTCTGTGCTGTAGCTAGAAACACTTACAAGCCTTGGTCGCGTACCCACCGTCAGCAACAATGACATTGGCGGGAATCTGGTCCTCGCCCTTGAAGAACCTCTCAAGGATATCCCGGGTGCCATCGGCGTAACGCTTCTGGGCATCGAGGGTTGTGCCAGAGTAATGAGGAGTCATGCCGTTTCCGCCACCAAGAGGGTTCTTCATCGTACGCCAGGGGTGGTCCTTGGGCGCAGGCTGCACATCCCACACATCACCAGCATAGCCATTAATGTGGCCGCTCTCGAGGGCCTCCTTGATCGCAATCCGATCACAAATGGCGCCACGAGCAGTGTTGACAATCCATGCACCCTTCTTCACGTGCTGCAAGAGCTCCTTGTTCACCAGGCCCCGAGTCCCCTCGTGCAGCGGTGCGTTGATCGTGATGATATCGCACTGGCCAAGGAACTCGTGGAGGTCCTCAACGCGGCGGGCGCCGATTTCTTTCTCAGCGGCTATATGCGTATAGAGTGAGACACAATGTCTACACAAAGCCAGCATGACGTACCGGCGGGGAGAGGGGCGTAGTCGTAGTAGAGGAGCTCCTTGCAGTCGAAGCCCGTCAAACGCTTCAGCACACGGAAACCAATACGACCGCAGCCAAGCGTGCCGACAACCTTGCCCTCAAGGTCGAAGGCATTGCGAGCGATGTCGGCAACCACCCAGTCACCACGCTCGATCATTTCGTGAGCGGGGATCAGGTTGCGGACGAGGGCGAGGATGTCCATTACTACATGCTCGGCAACAGAGACGACGTTGGAGCCAGTGACCTCAGCTACAATGATCTTCTTCTCGTTTGCAGCGTTGAGATCAACATGATCGGACCCAACACCTGCAGTGACCGCTAGCTTGAGCTTATGCGCCTTGTTGCGAATGAGATCACCCGTGAGGTAGCCAGGGTGGAAAGGAGTACTGTTCTCTGCGTAAGAAGGCACGGCAAATTGAATCTACCGACGCTCACGTAATGAGAATATCGGTCTGTGCACTCCGTCAGTACCGCATGCTGCTGATACGCTGGATTAGAAACGCACATCAGGGAGCTCCTTTTGGAATACGCTTTCCGGGCCCTCTTTGTCGTCAGTGACGATGAACTCATGTCCGAGAGACTGGAGCCAGTCAGAAAGACCCAGCTGGAGGATATTTGGTCAGCTTCTAGCGCTGAAGAGCGATTTCATGGATATACCCTGTTCTCGAGCGTGCCCAACAGTCTTGGCTCCTCAACAGCAGCCTTCCCGCCCTATTTGAGCATGATATCAGTCCGAGGAGTACACGGCGTGCAGCAGATCACCACGAAGACGTTGTGCGTACCTTGTACAGAACTGCCAAGATCTTCATGATCACTGATTGGATTTGGTTAAGATGTGCAAGTTACTTGGACTGGGAAGGATAGAGCTGGAGTAGGGATAGACCAGAGTCGAACTTGTACCAGACGCAGTATATACCGACTTTAAATATGCTTCCACCAATAGAACTCATGACCACGCTATGTCGAGGTTCCACGGGAGAAACCCTGGGAGAAACCCTCTACCCTCGGACGACCATTACGCCTTCCTGCTGGCTTTTCCGACCGGATTGGGGTGTATTTGTTCATAGGTGGAGGCACCAGTGAGGGCACATTCAATGAGCTGGGCATGCGCTGGGCCCCGAGCGTGTCGACGCACGGGGGCTCGTCCCTGCTGGCGCCCTCGTGAGCCATCGAAACGCGTAACTCCGAGGAGCTCATATACTACAACGACTTCCTCTTCCCAACTTTGGTGCACTTGAAGTAAAACACCGCCGATTATGGATGACAATATAAGCAAGCACCAATGGGAGTAAGGCTGCGTTGGCTGCTTTCGGTTCAGCATACATGCGCAAGCGACAGAGAAGCAGTCGATCTCGGTCATGTGGTGTCTGGGAGCATCATCGCCGAGCGCAGAGAGGGTTGAGGACGAGGAGAGAATAGAGGGGAGAGATCGTCTGCTGACTGGATCGGCGGAAGAGGCGTGATCTGGGATTAATATTGCTTGTCCTAGGTATGATGCATGTCGGGAGAGTATTCCAGGGCTAAGGCTCAATGGGAAACGGATACGTTGCGAGAACTGGGACACTGTCCCACTTTACGTGTTGGTTTTCTGTTCCCCTCGTCAAAGCGTTTCTGCCGCGTTCTCAGTACTTGAATTCTGTATGCAGAACGTGAGAGCGATTTTTCCGTTTCTGATGTGTTTTTTCCAGGACATACATCCGGAAGACAGTCAACCTGTAGGGTGCGGAGAAGCAATGCCGACTCGGGAAAAACCGTTTCAATTGCCAGCTCTAAATCTACGATATACCTCTGGACGACTTTCCTTCTCCAAACAGCAGAGGGCTTTCGGTATTTGCTGATGTCAGCTGAGGATATGAAAGTGATTGCACCCTGGCAACACGCTACAATAGCCTGGATACACGTGTTTTCCACCATGCACTGACCTATGCCGGGCGATTCAGTCAACATTCAATATCAACTCGCCGACGATTCTAACTCTGAAAAACGCATCGGCGCCGATCGGACCCGCTTATCTACCAACAATTGTTGTTTTCCAAATCTGGTGTCGACGTGGCCAAGGCTTTCATACTGAATCAGTAATTGTTACCTCCACGCGCGTCAACCTCTTCTGCCTATCAGCAGCCCCCTTGGTCAACCGGTGAAATTGCTCGGCTGCCGTTCGCTTCGTCCGACCCGCCCGGCTTCCTCAACTTGCCCATCCCGTGGGTCGCCCGTGGTTTCCAAAGCATGAAGATGAAAGGCTACAATACTATTTCTATAGGAACCGCAAGTCCATCTGATTGCACTGTCGGAGCTCGGAAGTCCTTTCGGAGCGTGTTATCTCACCCGGAGGTAACTCAGGTGGAGCACCAGCATGTCCTATACTTGGAAGCACTTGTTGCACGCTCAATCCGCGCCAGCACTGCAAGCCTGGCCAATGATCGGCTTGCCGAGGATTGACAAAGGGCCTTCTTCAATCCGCTCGGCATTCAGAAGAAAACCATCTTTCGGGTAATGCCGTTGACCCTTTTCACGATCGATGAACCTGCTATTGCCATTGTTAAGGAACAAGAAGCCGTAAGCATTAGGACTTTCGTTGTGGCGGTGTCCCGAGCGTGTGAACACCGGCATTTTGTATTCCACGCAAGCTTAACCATATCCCTGGACATGTCCCTTCAGCCTCGGCGGCCCAGACAACTGTATTCTGTCGCTTCCGCCACCCCTTCGGGAAGTGCTGCAATGCTGTCTCTTCCCATATCAGGGCATAGATGGCGCGATACGCATTGAGTCCGCGGGCTTACAGAACGCAGGATGGACACGAAGCAGATATCCCCAGGAGGAAGGGCGTTTCCTTGCGGTGAGCGGTAATTCGATCCCTCCATCACGCTGATTCTGGTTAACTAGTTAACTGATTATCGCATTGAATGTAGCCGGATCGCTGGCAGAATTAGTGGCGATTCCGGAACCGAGCCTTTTTAGGAAGCCTTTGCGATTTAGACCACCTGGATGGGCCCTGGCGAATACGAAGTACTTATTTGCGGTGTCTTATCTTCGGCCATGTCAACATCCCACGCATTCACAAGCCGACGGAATAAGGACACTGACACGTTCAAATCAATGCCCGATTGGGGGCTTCCTTCTTCTCTCATTCCACCGACCCAAAAAAAAATTGGGGGCAGCCCTGCCCTCCATCTCATGCTTACTCCTCTCGCTCACAGCATTTTGTCTTGCATTCGCAACCAATCAGCGGCAAGGGTGTGATCCGAAAGGTATGAGACGGTCTAGGGCGAGAAGTACGCCATGAGGCGGTAGAGTCATTCAAGAGCGGAGCGCAGCCATGTCGCTCCCTCTCCCCTAGGTACTGGGTCGACTTGTCGCGTATTTAAGGCGCGTTGCGGCGGCTACGTTACTACAGTTTCCCGCTCGCCCCGCCTGCCCGCCCACTGCTAGCACCCTCCCTTCCTGCAACATCATGCTTGCCTCTCCCTTTGTCCCGGTGTCCGCTCATATGTCGGTTGACATGCCATTTGTCGTACCAGTAATGGCCACACATACCGATTCGACGACGACAACAACAACACCTGACCCACATATCTTCCCGGAGATGGCTCCCGCCGTGGCTGGGCAGATTGCCGCTCCTATCCTCTACCTCCCTCCTCTCCTCTCCTCGCTGCCTTCCTGTCACCACAACGCGGCAGAGCCTTGCCATGGGGGCCACTTTCCCATGAAGCCACTTCACACCGAGGTGCGCTTGCCGGAAATCGACGCAGCTTCGTTATCGCTCCATCACGCGCTCCATCATTTCCGTCCCCTCGACCGGCAATATTCGTCCAAGGAGTATGCCGAGGCGTTCAACTGGGACGAGATCATGTTGCCAGAAGACGAGGAGCGCGAGTGGTACTGCGTGGCATTCAGAAGCAAACGCAAGCGTGGGAGCAACAGCGAGGCGCTCTATGTGGCCGATGCCAAAGCGCATGACGAGGCGATCCGGAACGGAGGGTTGATGTGAGTGCCGAGTCCAAATAAAGTCAAAAGCAACCCCTGACGAAATAATCGCGCAGCATGTATTGGTGGGTTTGCACTCCGCCCGGAGTTCCAGTTAGAATGACTCAAGACCGTCCTCGATTTATATAGGTATGGTGTCCCGGACGAGAGGACCGGCATGAACTTGGCCACGTGCATCTGGCAGTCACGCAAACACGCCGTTACGGGCGCCTCCAAACCGTCCCATGTGCATGCCATGAGACTGACGGCCGAGTCGGTAAGCAACTTTGATGGCCATGCTTTTCAGTTGATCATCACGCTGATCACGCGCCGTCAGTACGATGTGTACCGCCTTGAGCGATATGTTCTGAGAAAAGCGGCCGGAGAGCGGGCGGTGACCGTGGAAGAGTACCGCGGTGGTGAGGTCGGGTGGTGATTACGAGCATAAGGACATCAAGAACGAAGCCAAGCAGTCAGGGGCTATCCCAGAGCGGCGGAGCACGTTCGACGTGGAGACGGACGCTCGTAGTGCGGCCAGATAGAGATGAGCTGTACCTGAATACCCATAGAGACCGTTTGATCAAAATAGAAATGACAGCTCAGGAGCGCAGTCAAGGTGGAAGAGAAGCAAGGAGTTGAACAGAGCATCAAGGGTGGAAGGATTCGGCTGTTCGCGGTGGGAAGAGAGTGGATGACATAAGCATAATCACGAGGACGCGTCAGCCAATCAGCTTCCGGCTATCAGCAGTCTTTGTGAGCCGGGGGATACCCGCCCCTTTGAGCTAGTAGAGGTTTGATCGTCGCTCGTCGTCCGACCATAGCTGCTCACTGTCCTCGAAGAGCAGCGATGGCGAGCAGCAGCAAAGGGGTAGCAAAGGATACACCCTCTCACTCAAAACATCCCGGGCACGTTAAATGGGCCCCTGCACCTGCTTCCGATGAGCACAGGCCGTTGCTGGATGACGACATTGAGCGTGCGGATGAGGAAGACAACGGTCAGGACAACTCTAGCGGCTCAGTTTCTCGCTTGCATCGCACGTCGAAAATCGGTTTGTTGCTTGGCCACGGCAGACGACCCTCGTATTCGGGCATCAGCGAAGAAGGCAGACAGGCTCCCGGTTCCTGGAGATGGTGGCTGCACGTGTTCGCGTCCGCACTCGTAGCTCTCCTCGTCGTGGCAGTGATCATTGCAGCGATTAAGTCAGGAGAAGATGGTCCGTGCTTCCCTTCCTAACTGTGGGGAACCGTCGGCTCACCATCACGCGCCAGATCATCCAACCGGGCCTTATCCGGAACCGCCGCACCATACAACCGCAGCCACGGGTACGTTCTCAGTACCTCATGTTGAGCCGACGGGTACGTCGTCTCGTGACGCGTCTGTGCCCCTTTTACCGCTAACTTGGGCACCTAAATAGGCAAACCCCGCAATCCGGCGTACATGATCAAGGCGATCCATGGCGCCGTCGCGACAGAAAACGAGAAGTGCTCGGAGATGGGTGTAGACATCCTCAAGGCAATTGGCTGCGATTCTTCTGCTATATGACGCGCTTCTGAAACTGTACTCTATGATAGGCTGGGGGCTCGGCAGTGGACGCTGTAGTCACATCGGCGCTGTGTGGTGTGTTGGTTCTTTTGTGTATGCTACTGGTCGTGTGTTTGACATACATGCATTCTATTCTCGTAGTTGGCACCTTGAACTCGTTCTCATCAGGTATGCATCCTGGCACTGTGTCTTCCTTCTACGGATGTTGATGCGGCGTGACCTCCCAGGAATTGGAGGGTTAGTGACCATCACTCTCCTATTACGTGTATGTCTGAACGCGTGGTTATGCCCACAGTGGTGGATTCATGACCATTAGGCCTCCAGAGGGTGGGAAAGCGGTTTCCATCGACTTCCGTGAAATCGCACCTGCTGGCTCGAATGCAACGATGTTTGGCAAAGATCCGTCTACGTCCCTGTTTGGCGGTCTAGCCATCGGCGTGCCAGGTGAGCTTCGCGGACTCGAACTTGCCCACAATCAGTACGGCCGTCTCCTATGGAAGGACGTCGTTGAGCCTGTCGCGAAGCTTGCTGCCGGGTGGAGGGTACAGAAGGAGCTTGCACGACGTATCCCAGTGCGCCATTTTCCTTTTCCTTCGGGCTCTTGCCCGTAGATTAACCCCTTTGTTCCTAGTGGTTAGAGATGTTCGGCAGGAAGGACCAGATTGCTCAGGAGTGGAAGGACATCTTCGCGCCTAGGGGCGAATGGCTCACGGAAGGCGAGTGGATTGAGCGGAAGAACTTTTCGCGAACGTTGCAGACTATTGCAGAGCAGGGCGCTGATGCATTCTACACTGTGCGCCCCTGTGTTCTGTCTTTGGAGTTGTCGACTGATAATTTGTAGGGGGAGATTGCCGAGTCCATTGTCGCAAAGATCCGGGCCACGGGCGGTATTATGACAATGGAGGACCTTGCTTCATACGAGGTTATCATGTACGACTCTCTTGTCGGCACATACAGGGGCAACAAAGTGTATACGACGAATGCACCCACCAGCGGTCCCGTGCTCCTCCACGTTCTAAATATGTGCGAGAAGTTCGACTTTCCTGGTGAGGGTCTGACCGGCCTGAACGTCCATCGCATGGTTGAAGCGCTCAAGTGTGAGAACTTTCCGTCCTGCGCAGCCCGGACTTCCCTTCTCATCCCTATCAACAGTTGGATTCGCGGCAAGGACGGAAATCGGAGACCTAGCGTTCTTCCTGAATCGTACCGCGCGCGTGGCAGAGATCTCGACCAAGAAGTTCAGTACCGAGAAATGGGAAATGATCGATGAGGTTTGACTTCCCGCATTTCGCGGGAGTTCCTTCACTGACGGTTATCACAGAAGCGGACGCATACCGCTGACTATTGTTGGTCTGGACCAAGATCCCGTGTTGCATCTATTGATGAAGTCCCTAGATGGCCCTATCTTTGATATCCCGGCGGACCATGGAACTGTGGGCAATTCATCCGCTTTCATGAACGCCTCATTGATAGTCTTTCAGACGCACATGTCCATTGTTGACAAGGACGGCATGGCTGTTGCGCTCACCACAACAGTCAACCTGATCTTCGGATCTCAGGTCATGGACCCTGTCACTGGCGTGATATTGAATGACGAGGTAGGCATAAATTATGACATTACCGATTCGTTACTCAGCCCGCATCAAAACAGCTGGATGACTTCTCCCGCCCGGGTATACCTAACTATTTCGGCTTCCCCCCATCACCATGTGAGCGCCGCCATCATCTATCCATCTATCTTGCACCAATGGAGTCGCTGATGCGGTTTAGACAATTACCCGGCCGCCGGGAAGCGTCCAGTATCGTCCACGGCCCCAACGATCATGGAACGCCCTGACGGCTCATTCCTACTTGCCGTGGGTGGCTCAGGTGGGAGCCGCATCTTTGGTGGTATCGCTCAAGTGATCCTGGGCTCTGACTGGGGCCGGGATATTGGCCAGTCCGTCGAGTCCCCGCGAGTACACGACCAGCTCGCCCCAGCGGAGGTGTCTGTAGAGTCGACCTTCCCAACAGATCTCGTGGAGGCCCTGAGAGTCAGAGGCCATAATATCTCTCTGTTTGACATCAACGATGGACGTTGTGAGATCCAGGCTGTGATGGCTGGCGAGGATGGATACCTCTATGGTGCGTTATCATATCATCCATAAGCACTTCCATCTCATGGCTTCCGTAGCTGCAAGCGACTCGAGGAAGAACGGTATTGCAGCTGGCTACTAGAAGATACAAAATAGATCACAACTTCGCTGCGTAGACTCTGTATCCCATAGTGGTTGATTGGTCATTGTTGTACAGCAAGGCACGGCTGGTCAACAGTTTTACTATTTATCATTTGGACTACACGTGGATATAATTACAACCCAGATGTACACGGGCAGATGCGAGAAATAATATGTGCAAAGCACGTACCACACAACTAGATACACTTAGGATCCCGCACGCTGAGCGCTGGTCGACCCAGCAGAGACACTCTTCGTTGGGGACGTCCGTGGAGTGTCCGCTCTCTTGAGCTCCTCACTCATCCACTTCTCAGCATCGTTAACAAGCTTGACGACAGGCTCGAACTGCCTCCACATTTCGAGCACTTTATCCTCCGCAAACTGGTTATGCTTCAGCCGGGCCTTGTCAACCATGCCCTTGACGGATCTGTCGATTGCAGTTGAAAGCCGGGGCCAAAGAGTACGGTAGATGTTGTCGATGGACGGCGTAGTAGGCAAACTGTGTAGGGCGGCGTCGAGCTGTCCCATGGTTAGCAACTTCAACCCCTCCATGAGAACGGCGGATGTGAACGTACCGCATGATGCGCATCCTCCAAGTCGGCAATACGGTTGACCAAGCCCATGACCTTATCCGATAGCGCTTCAAGCCCACTGTTCCGTCCCACGTTCCCTTCTTCGAGCAGGCGATTCCTAGCCTGAAGACTCTCCACAGTCTCCCTCAACAACTTATCTCTCTCTTCCGCACTCAGGAGCTCCTTCTCCTTCTTCTCCATGCCAGCCAGGATCTTATCCACCCGCTCCTGCAGGCCCTTGACCCGCTTCTCCATCCCAGCCCTCGCTTCCCTCGCATTCCCCAGGTCTGTCTCCAGCTTGATAATACGTTCCGTGTACCCCTTCTCCAGCTTCTGGAGCTCACTGATCCTCTCTTCCTCACCCTTCTTCGTCAGGTCCTTCAACCGGTCTATCTCCTCCCTCAGCTCTCCCATGCCCCGGGCAGCGTCCTCCTGCTGCCTCACCAACTGCTGCACGACTTCTTTCTGCTTCTTGTCATCTTCTTCCCGCACCCTGGCCTCCTGCCGCCCCCGATTGAGCTCTTCGACGCCCAGTTGCAGGCCGTCGAAGAGCGCCGCCAAACCCTGGTCAACCGCAAGGGTGTGCGCCTCACTCACTCGTTGTGCGCCCAGGGCGGCCTCCTCAGCCTGAGCAAGGATAGTGGACATTTCCCCGGTCCCGAGGGTTGTGCCAGAGCCTCGAGTGACAGCACGCACCGTCTCCCTCAGGCGTAACGCTACCTTCTGGGCCTCGGTCATCCGCCGCCTAGCCTCGGTAGCAAGGATGATTTCCCTAAGACCGCGTCAGTCATATATTCATCCATATATTCCTGAAACACGATGAAAGCATTGAATTGGGGACGTACTCGGTAACCATTTTCCGCCTCTCCCTTTGCTCCATAGTCATGAGCCTTTCCCGAGTAGCAGGTTCAGGCAAGGGAGGCCCCATAAGCTGCATGATACTGGCCGTGGTAGGCATTTGCGTCCTCTCCGAGCCGTTCGGCCAACGAGAGGAGAGTGGGGAACGGGAGAGCTCAGGTCGCATCAGTCTAGGGTTGGTCGGCGGTTCTCGTCCAGTTACGGGCGTGGCGGTATCTGTCCCACTAATGCTCTCCGCCGCACGGGGCGGTGGGAAGACACCGGTCGTCACGTTCGTGGGGGTTGCGAGGGGAGATGCGCTCGTCATACTTTCGGCTTGCCTCAGCCTTGGGTCACGCGGCCAGCTGTGAATGGGTGAGGCGGTCGTCCCCGCCGTTGTAGCAATGGGTGTGGTTGTTGCCCCAGGTGTTTGAGAGGAGATAGGCATGTCGCTGTCGGCCAGGCGGAGAGCGTCGAGGTATGTACGTAGTTCGGGGTTGACAGCAGGGATATCGACATGCAGCCCCGCCCTCCCGTCTTGTGCAGACTCAGCCGCAGGGCCAGTGGGCGGAGTGCGCATACGCGGTCGCTTAGTAACGAGCCGCTCAAGCATGTCGGACTCGACCGAGCTCGCCCGCTGACGCTTGTTAGGGCTTATCTCCCCCGTCGAGGATCCGTCTGGTAGACCGTCGTCTGCTTGACCCCAGGAGCGCGGCGTCCCCGATGGTTGGCGGTCTCGTAGGGGCGAAGACGTCCTCCCCGAAGGTCGGCCACGCCCGCCTGGACGGTCCGGCGAGCGGTTTCTACCGCTTCTTCCTGCTCGGCTTGTCCAACCGCTGTCCCTGTCCCTCTCGCTATCCCTATCACGATCTCTATCCCTCTCCCTGTCGCGGTCCCTCTCCCCATCGTCCCGCCTCCTCCATGATCTCTGATCATCCTTCTCCAACTCGTACTTGCGCCCCAACGGCTTAGTAGCAGTGAACCACGCTGTGCTGTCGGGGTGTACGAATAGGCAGTCGGAACCGCGGTCGCATCCTCGACCTAGAGGTTGTCCAGATGAAGAGAAGTACTGTAATATGAGGAGTGAATAAATTGTATAATCCCAGGCCACTCAAAGGGGAATGACAGTGCTCACCTTGCATTGGATATTGTGCTTTATCTTCCGGTCACTTTCCCGGCCACTCATATTCACTTATTCAATATCGTTCAATTTTTCAACAGTTCTGGTATAAGATATTGCAATTCCAAACCAGTTGTTCAAATAGTACAAAATTGGTCGCAGCGCAGATGTAAGTGACTGGCGGACGACGATGGGCCGACAGAGCTTTGGCCTGCAGGGTACAATGCCGGTGCCAGCAACTGATTGACTAATTTGATCGATTTACGTTACCATGCGCTCCGGACAAACAATACTATTGTTCATTTCTCCGTATTGTAACCAACGACAGCGTAATTGACTCCTAACTCTACGGAAAGTCGGAAAGTCGAGTTTGTAATGAGGAAAGACCACAATGGGGGAGGAGTGCACTGGGTTACTTTTTCTATTACAATAATAATATACGAGTCTACAAGGTCTGAACAAAATATCCTTGCAAGATTAATCTAACATGCACCAAACCTGACATCGCACTCATCCCACATATCTGGAGCTCCTACCAGCCAAGCCGCACAGACAGTCAACACAAAAATGCAACCTCACGCCGACTCTGGCACATGAGGCAACAGCCTTACAGCCCTGCTCTTGCCACTCTTCGCCCCCACTCGAGGTAACATCCCAAACTCTCCCTGTCCTTCTGCCTGGCTACGCCGGCTGCGCGAGCTCCTCCTGCTCCTACCCTCCCCTTCCCCTGCAGCGGAGATAGAAGCGTCCGACCTTCCCCGCGTGACCCCGTCGTCGAAGTAGAAGTTACTAGGAGCAGGACCACCACTGCTCATACTACTTCTCGGGCTCAGGACCTCCTGATAGGGGGAGGAGACCGCATCGGACAGAGCGCGGAAATGCGAGTAATCCGTAAAGGAGGTCGAGACGATGCTTGACCGCTGCGGGAGGAGGAGGGAAGGGTTGACGAAATTCGGCATAGGCGGGACAGGCGGGGCCTGCAGAGGGTGGGAAGACCCTGCGCGAGCTGAACGGAACGTATCAGGCGTGCGTGCCCGTGGGCCCATAGGCCTGCTCGAGGCGGGCGCAGTCTGGGGACCGGAGAACTCCATAGGCGAGGGGAGGATCAAAGGTGAGAGCATCGTCAGCGGTGGGGCGCGGCGGGTTTTGGCCACGTCCTGGACTGTGATGTTTTCTGGTTCCATGTTCTGTGGAGAGAGGGAGAGGGAGGAAGGCCCGGGAGCTCTGCCTGGTGGACGGAGGGAGACTGGTGCGGGAGGCGACTCGCGTTCCGGGAGATGCTCGACACGCTTCTCCACGCTCTCAGAGCTTGCGATGCTTGCGTTACTACTCGAGGAACCTGGGTTGACGGACCAGCGCACCCCATCCTTGCTACTGACCGGCGCCCGGTCATCGGGATCGTACGTCCGCCCATTGACAGTCATCCTCAGGGCGCCGCTTTCCCTCGGGGTGAAGGCGAAGGGGAACGTGGATGAGCCGAAAGAGAACGGGCGGAGGGTGGGGAGGAAAGACCGGTGTGCGCGGGAGGGGAAGGGTAGGAAGGAGGTGTTTTCTCTTTGGGAGGCGAGCCGTCGGCGTTGGCGGAGGAAGAGGAGGAAGAGAAGCACAAGCAGGACGGTGATGGACAGCGCTATGGCAACTATCGTCCCTGCTGGGAGGTGGGATGTGGATGTGCCAGCGGTAGAAGAGGGGAAAGAGGAGAGCCTGTGCACTGTTAGTACTTGTGTTGGCTAGGAGGAAAAGAGCACTTACCCTCGTCCACCCTCAGTTTCCACCACCGTGAACTCCTGTACCTGTAACTCGCTCCCGTCCTCGGCGTTGCTCACCCACACGCTCCACTCCTCCGAGCCTCCCCCCGCACTCGCGCTGCCCGGCCCCAACCCACCCTGCCAGAATAGTACAGCGCTGGGCACGGTCCACTGCGAGTAGGCGGAGAACGTCCAGTTCTCTACTATCCCTGAGGTGCTGCTGTTCAGCGTAATGAAGTACCGTCCAGCTTTGGGAGAGAGGGTGCCAAGAACGGTGATGGCCGTTCCTGTGCAAATTTAGCAGCCAGCCTGCGGTGGCCAGGCACAGAGAACGCACCTTGAAACGTGAGCATGACGCTATCCCCGAGCCTGGTAGACTGGACAGTGCTGACGCTCACGTCCTGCCCCGTGCTCCCGGGAGCAGTGACGATCTCTTGCTGCCACTGGCCGGCGAGCAGCACCGAGGGGTCCGTTGTGGGCACGGAGATGTTCGTCGCTGTGGCTCTGCCCGATCGTCAGTGACTGGCAGGGCGATGCACGGTTGGCAAGAGGGAGCCGGCGACGGCACAGCCAGCCCCGACAAAACAAATGTTGCTCACCCCGTCCTGCCCGTGCCGCTTTGCACGACAGCGTACTGGAACCCCAATCCTCCAAGAGATGCGTTGGCCTGGAGCGCGAATGTATGCTGCCCTTCTGCCAGGTCGGTATACGATGCCAGGAGTGCGTTGTCCGCCGAGCCGACCGCTGCTGTCTCATCCAGGATTGTTGTGTACGATGCTGGGCCGAGCAGGAGTCCATAAATCCAAATGGCGTTTCCTGCGGCGAGCATCCGTCAGTGCACATCCACGGCCGCGCCGAGCAAGGACCCACCGTAAAAAGTAATATTGAAATCTGAGCTGCTGCCTCTCGTGGCATGCATGCTCGTCCCCAGGCCTTCCTGCCCTGGCCAGCTGGGGAAGCCAGAGGAGAGATAGAGGCTGTCCCAGCCTCCTGTGGGGTCGCCTTCTGCATATGGGTAGTATCCGACGAGGGGTGAGGTATCGGGTATAGTGGTGTTGTAGAGAGTTTCCATGCGAAAGGGGGGTATGGATAGGTGTTGATGGATGTGGGGGGGCAGGCACAGGAGCCCGCAGTTCGTGTAATGAGGGATAATAAAAAGAGGCAAGATGAGATGATGATCAAAGCGCAGAGAGAACCAGCTCCCTGTTGTCCAGCAATAGCACGCGCACTGCGTTATTGAAGAATTATGGTGTGGATGGCAGCAGCGTGGAGGGGAGAGCCGCAAGGACAGAACAGCGAGTGGACACCAGGTTGTTGTATCTGCCATCGTACAGTGGGCGGTGCAGACGGACACACGGACATGTCACAGAACGTGCAAGGGAATCAGGGCAACACCAGGCAAAGGCGGAGGATTGGCAGTATGTCAGCAACTGATTTTTCTCATGACCTCTGTTATTCCATGTGCTGGTGTTCGTCGTCCCCGTGTGGAATGCAACGCAGTGACAATTACTCTAACAGAAGAAACGTGTTTGAAGGGTCTTCTCGCAAGTCCGGTTGTCAAGTGAATTGTCATTCCGCACGGCCACGCCGTGTCGGGCGGTGAATGAGATAAATATTGCGAAGGTGACCAGGGACAGAAAGGTGCACAGAGGGCAGCGCGCAGTAACCGATTCTAAGCAGATTCTTGAGAACCAAGATAAACGGTTCCATGCCGAGATGCATGACAGATACCACATAGAAAGTTTGTACGAGTGAGCGAAGCATATATGGCAAGCATTCTTGTTGTAAGATGAGCGTCCTACTTAACTGTCTATTGGGCAATAGCCATCGAATGGGGGCCCGTGTTGGAAAAGGTAATCTTACTGCCATATTTGACAACTATTTACCGGCATCACGCACTGTTCACCTTATAATCGTACACATTTTCATCAATCCCGTACCCTACTTGAGAGCATAATGTAGTGTAAACTTTGGATCGGCAGAAATGGGAAGGTCGAATGTGAAGGAAAACAAAGGGTGCGGTGTATCGTATTGTAAAATCAGGTGAGAGTAAGAGGTAAGAAGAAATCTCTTTCTGCACATCTTCGGAACATGCGACAGTCAGGAGGGTATGGGTGTAGCGAAGAGAGAATAGCAACAGGGAGAAAGACTACCAATGAACGGATGAGAACAGATGGCACAGGCTGGATGAGCAACAACGGGAGGGGATCAACCCCCAATGATCAACAGGCAGGATCACAGAATAGACACTGAAAGAACGCAACGAATGGAGAACATAGAAAGGAGATGATGCTGACGTGAAAGACAGGTATCCATGATGCATATGGTAGCGCGCAAGCTTGGCAGGACAAACAGCAAGAGATGACGGCATGGGTCCAAAATATCAGTCGAGAAATATTCTTCTTTCGGTTTATCCCTCTTTATCTTACATATCAACATCCATTGAGTCTTCGACCGGTTCAGGCCCAGAGTAACCCAAAAGACTTGCTAGGAACGCGGGCTCTTCAGGCTCGATCGCTGAACCAACTACGCCGGATGCGAGCATCCCCTCCAAACGCTGAAACGCGATGCTAGCGCGGATTTGTTGGATGCTCGGTCGCAGCGTGCGATCGGAATGCATCATGCCGATGATTAGACTCGACAGTTCGAAGCTGGCTATGCCGGAAAGCTCCGTATCGGAGAAGTCGTCCGTTCGGAGCTTATGCCACGGTTCCCCCATATCAGGCACGACAATGTTGCAGATGCATTCCAGGGCGAGCACTCCAAGACTGAATATGTCCGCCGGCTTGCCATATACGCCGCGGAGGATCTCAGGAGCCATATACTCTCTGTCTCCTTCGCGCTCAAAGCCTCGTTCAAGGGCAGCGTTCGGCCGGGGCCAGCGGGTGGCGAGGCCAAAGTCGCCGATCTTGAGTACGCCACTGTCGGTGATGAAGATGTTGGCAGGCTTGAGGTCCAAGTGAAGGATCCCGGCCTGGTGAACGTGAAGAAGGCCTTTGGTGATCTGGTTCAGAATCTTCCACACGCGTGCTTCTCCTAGACCGTCTTCGGAAATGCGGCCAAACTCTTGCAAAAGGATACTGAGATCTCCAAGCCCACACAGCTCCGTCCGGATATACAGCGTATTCTGTTCTTCCCAGAAGTCGATCATCTGCACAATATGTGAGTGGGGGCCGCCAACAGAGGGCGTTGCGAGATATTGGAGGATGTTAGCCTCCTCAAGCTGGCGTTGTCGGTCCTTGGCACCTTCAAATGGGTTCTTCCTGCGTTTCACGCACCACACCTTGCCTTCTTCACCAGGAGCAGGATGGCGAGCCATCACACGGTATGTGAAACCGAAGCCGCCCCTTCCCAGCTGACCATCTTCAATGAAGTCGCGTTCGAACCGTCCGAGGGCACCGCCGTCAGACTTTACGAAAGGGAACGAGTGTCGGCCCTTGACGACGTTTTGTGTAGGTACCCGACTATCTACAGGAGACGCAGGCGTGCGCAATATGGCGGGATTCAGGGAGGCACGACCGCTGAATGATGGCTGGGCAGTCTTATGAGCAGCCGAATGCCTCGCAGCTCGCTCAATGAGAGGCGACGTCTCAGGTGGAGAAGGATATTCGTCTGACGCCGTCCGTTGCAGGCCGAGAGCGATGTTCACCGCAGGTGTGCGGGTCAGAGCTGGACTAGCACCCCACTGGATCCGGCCACCTGCACCACGTGTAGGGGTGACCATGTCCACGTCCTGGCTGTTGTCGTCGCTCGCTGTAGGCTCTCCATTGCTGCTCACGTCCGACCAAGCGCTTGCGTTACTACTTGTGCGTTTGAGCTTGTCTCGTCTTGGGTGACCCAGGGGACTATCTGTCGTGTGACGCTCAGATGGAAGCGATTTGCGCGGCCAACTAGAGACGGGCTCCCGGTGCGTCTGTGCCCTTGTGTGCCGCTGTGCACGGATGGAGGGGGAGGTTTCGAGCGAGTCTTCAGGCGCGAAGGACGGCAGGTTATTCGGGAGGCTCGGACGAGGCACCTTATGAGATCGTGACCGGGGAGCTTGAGGTGCTGTGCCAGGGGTGTCCTTTGCAATGACGTCCTTAAGCCGAACCAAGAAAGCAGATGACTGAGTAGGGTTCAGAGCCGACGAAAAGTGTACGTTGGGCCTTTTGATTGGAGTCGGTGGCATTATCGGATGCGCAGGAGTTGGCGGAACAGGGGGCGGGGGAAGGTTGAGCGCTTGCGCGATGTGTGAGGGCCACGGGGGATGTGGTGTTAGACTGGGTGTAACCAGATAATCGTCCCCGGTCGACGATGCGAGATTTTCCTCCGGTGGGAGGCGACTTACCACCGGCGATGGAACTTGAAGATAAGCATCCGAACCACGGCCAGGGCCTTTGTATTTCTTCGCGATGGTTGTCGGTTGAAACACGGCTTGCAGGGGGAGTACCTTGTTGAAATAATTTGATGACGGGTCCATCTGCTTCTCGTGGGAATGTCCCAACACGGGCTCTAGGTCGTCCGGTGTAGGAGGGGGCAACGAGGAGGTCGAAGCAGACAAAGATAGCAACGAACTGTTGGAAAACGACTCTGGTACAGCCGAAGTTGTTGGTGATGGTGGCATCGGCGTATCATCATCATCCACGTCCTCTTCACTGTGGCCCGGAAATGGTGATTGTTCTGGATCCAGGAAGGGCGAGTCATCGTGGACCAACCCCGGAGAGGGGTCAGGAGGCACTGTGATGTTGAAGATGTTTCCGACTGATCGCGGCCTAGGAGACATGTTGTCATTTCGGAGTTGTCCGTGTGCGTGTCCATGACTGTGCCCGTGCGCTGATTGTCTGTTGCCTACGCCAGGCAGCAACATAGCACTGACAGGTCTCCGACCCACGCTACTCTTCCTCCTGACTCGCGAAGAGTGCTCTATTTTAGCAGACTGCAATGAAAACGACTCTTTTACGTCGTTCATAGAGGAAGACTGTGCGAAGGGTTGAGACGTTGAGCGCATATATGCCCCATCCTCAGTCGAACGTACGTTGCGGTTCAGCGTCGGCCTAGGCATGCCTTTCCTCTCTGTTGCGACCTCAGATACCTGAAGAACGGGAATCTTCGATCTCATGTTGCCCGCGACGCTGTGAGAGCGGAAAGGTTGTGGTGTTGAGGGAAAGAGGTTCCTCGCGTCCGGGTCATGCGATGGAGTCTTGAGCCCCATCGGAGCTGGTGCAGGGAGCGAGCGAAAGAGAGGCGGGCGCGAGTCTGGAATTGGTGTCGAACTGGTAACGGCCTTGGGTGAGGGAGAGTTGTTAGGAGACGTCAGGATTCTCGGGAGTTTTGGTGTGAGTTGGAGGCGAATGGGAGAGATCGTCAGTCGCGATCGAGACCGACGGGAGGACGGGGTGTTATTGTTATTGGCGGACGGTAGGCACGCAGAAATAGCCTCGAAGAAGAGCGGTGGAGAAGAAGGTGCCGTACACACGTCCATGTTATGTTTTGAAGTTATATGCGTCGTGTGTTGGGTTTGCGAAGGCGGGAGAAAAACGTAGTTGATGCTTGGGTGATTGTTGGTATGTACTTGAAAGTTGTTGGGGTCGTTAAATGAGTCGCAATTAAGGCGATGAGAGAGTTGAAAAAGTCGAGCTGGAGAAGTCGTTAACGAAAATTGCGAATGGTGAGAGGTATAGTGGTCGTTGAAGAGCAAGGGGAGGAGGCGACTGGGGGTGATATGGGCGAGCCCTGTGAGAGCCTGTGACACCGCAACCCCGAGGAGGTCAACGCGTGGGGGGGTTGATGCAAATTACGGGTTTTGCTCCCGTCTTGTCCTTGGAGCAAACGCGCTCCACAAGGTAAACACCTGACTACCACGTGATCATCGGGATCGCCGTTCCGTGCACATTCATCCCAGGGCACAGTCACGACAACGAGAGCCACAACGGCAACAACCGCGTTTGCAACGCGTTACAATTACCCGGATATCGTCTGCAGATTTTGCCTTGAGGACGAAAATCATGCCTTGTATGTTGAGCGAAAAACGAACGTATTCAACACCACGTGTACTGCACCACTACCACCGCACTTTCTGCGGCGCGCAGATCTACGTGCTCCGGCCTCAAACGTCAGACTCTGAGAGATTCGAAGCAGTGTTTATCCGACATCAATGATTCAACCATCTCAGTGTCACGTCAGCTTGATCATGTCCAAGTCATACGCATACGCAGCATGCACCGACACATCTCTTTGCTAGAGCGGTGCAACTCGTCTCTGCGTATGTGGTTCATTCTCTGGCTAGTCATCTGCGCGATTCCTTCATGATTGTGCTCCGACAAAGATCAAACTGCAGGTGACGGCAGGCTAACGTGCCATCTCCGATCCCCAACGCCGCTGAAGTTGCGCACGTGTGGGACGGTGGCCGGATTATCTTGATTTCGGCTCCGAACTCCCCGCTTAGGGTCCCGCCTTCGCGTCTGAAATTTTGGTTTTTGACATCACTCAATCCGCAAAAATCCCAACATCACCATGGTTAGCTTTCAGTAAGTGCAGGTGCTGTGGATACATATAGAATGATTTATTAGAGCATCTGGTTTGTTTAGATGCGATGCGTGCGGAGACACGGTCAAGAAACCGAAGCTTGATCAACACTCCTACAAGTGTCATTCCTCTGTGACATGTATAGACTGCTCGAAAACGTTTGCCGGTCCGGTAGAGTGGAAGTAAGTCCTGTCACTCGATATACCATATTCTTTCTGACCAGAAGTTCAATAATAGGAGTCACACATCTTGCATCTCCGAAGCGGAGAAGTACCAAAAGGGTCTATACAAAGGACCAAAACAAGGAGACCGCCAACAAGGGCAGCAGTACTCCAATGGTCGTGGTCAACATCAGCAGCGAGGTCGTGGGAGGGGAGGATTTGGACAGGGGATGGGCATGGGAAGGCGGATGACAGGAACAGGTGCGAATGGCACACCATTGGGGACGCCGTCTAGGATGTCGCCTATTTCCCAGCCGACTGCAGCTCCCGAGGAGAAGGAACAGCCGGCTGTGGCACCAGCTGTGGAGGTCGTGAAGGAGGTTGAAGAGAATGGGAAAACGAAGAAAGAGAAAAAGGCGAAGGCGAAGAAAGAAAAGGCGGTAGAGTCGGAGCCAGGTACGGAAGAGGTGGCCGAGGCACCAAAGACAGATGCTGTTGCAACAAATGGCACTGAAAGTACGTCCCTAGCACTTGTCCTATCATCGCCAATACTAACATGACCATAGTATCCACGGCGAAACCTAAGAAAGAGAAGTCCAAGAAGAAAGATGCAACAGCTGATGTTCCTGTTCCGGTACCGGCCAATGGTACTGCTGTGGAGAAGACGGAGAGCACAGAGAAAAAAAAAGCGACTAAGAAACGCAAAGAGCGGTCGGACGAATCTCCGGCACCGGCAGAAGAGGGCGTCCAGAAGAAGCAGAAGAAGAACGAGGGCGAAGCTGCCGGGGTCCCTGATGCCCCTAAGCCAGCGGAGGCTGAGAAAAAGGAGAAGAAAAAGGCGAAGAAACATGCAGCTGAGGAAACTGCTGATGTTGGTGCCCCGGCGAAGGAGACTGGGGAGAAGAAGCAAAAGAAGAAACACCCAGATGAGGTCGTTGCTGAGGCCATTACTGCCTCTAAGGAAGTCAATGGGGAGAAGAAGAAGAAAGAGAAGAAGAGCAGGGTCATAGCGGAAGCACCAACCGAGACCGCCCAGACGTCCGCACCTGCTGAGGAGAAGAAGAAGAAAGAGAAGAAAACCAAGGTCGTAGCAGACGCAGCAGCCGAGACCGTCCAGGGTCAACCTGCTGAGAAGAAAAAGCGGAAACATGAGGAGGGCGATGGTGAGGTCGAGGGCAAGAAGAAGAAAAAGAAGACCAAGGTCGACACAGCTTCGTAGAGTCTCCTGTTCAGCACTCTTGGATTTTTCTACATGACACATTCCATTTGTATCTAGGTATCACGGTCATCCATCGTCACATACTCCTACATCATAATCGCTGGTTTCCCAGCGCTCTCATGAGTCATATATATACCCTTCATGTCTTGTCCAAGGTGTCATTAGTCTAAGGCATTTGAAGGCAGGTCAGAACGCGGTGGTCGAATCGACTTCGATGGTGGGAACGATGCTCGCGATGAATTTGAGGAAGACAACGAGGTAGAAGTCGACTCTCATGCCTTCAGCGTCTTCCGAAGCAGGAGTTTCGCTCCCAGTGCTGGGTGATTCCGTGCCCGATCCACCTGTGACCCTGCGCACCATCCCGCCTAACCAACGTCTGCCACTCTTGCCGTCCTTATCAGGCTTAGCATTAGAGATGCCGAGCCGTTTCTGCTCCTCCGCAATGATACCAGCGTTCATTCGCTCGATGACTTTCTTCATCACATTGGCGTGTTTACACGGATGGACAGAGGCGGCGGTGAGAGTGGTACTATGTGGGAAAGGCTCGATGGTGACCGTCTTGAATGCATGATCGGCGGAGACATCTTGGAATACATGAGATGGGGTGAGGGGGTTTCCAGACTACCCTTGATAAGCTACGACTGGCCAAGCGAGGTTCAATCATGCTCACCTCATCATAACCGAGCAGCCAGATTCTTGGGGTTTGATAGTACTTGTCATATGTGATCATGACATCGTACGTTCGAACCTGGAGCAAATTGTCCTTTGCGACTTCAATCGGCCTGAGCGGAAGTCAGCGACAGTGTTATAGAGTGCTCGGGACATCAACATACTGTGCCTCTTCCGTAACAGCAGCCTTCTCTGGCGCAGCAGCGGCCACATCCTCTGCCTCCTCGAGCCCTTCATCCTCCATATCCGGGATATCATCGATGTCAGGGATCTCCTCTGGTATTGGCTGAGCGTCAATAGCATGGCGCTCGTCCATTGTCATCTTATTTAGCCCCGCTGTGATGGCAGATGCGGTATGAGACGGCCCATCAAGGTCCGGAATGTCACTGATTTCAGCAACCCCATCACCTTCTCCTGCTCGGCCGGCATGAGTCTGCACCCATTCATCTTCCTTATCGCCGCCATCGGTAAATGAGAGCATCTTCTCAGCATCCTCTTGTTCATCGGTATATGCGAGTGTAGTAGCTCGTCGAAGACATGGGACTGATATTTGTTTGTCAGAGAGGAGACCAAATAGGAGAAACGATGACGCCTCACCGTTTCGAGTCATCAGGAACTGCTTATCCTTGGGCAAGAAGTCTCGTACTCGGGTTCCGTCACCTTTTTCCCTGTGTTCCTATTCAGCGTATGAAACAACCATTGACATAGCTTCCGCGTACCATGTCCACACGGGAAACTTATAGGTGAGAAAGTCACCTGCGGCGACGAATTCCTCTGCCGAGAGGTTAAGGGAATACGACTCTATGGTATGTGGAGGTCACCAACCTGGAGTGATCCGCCCGTGCTCCTTGAATTTACTTTCTCGTAGGACCTAGGCAGATGACCGTCAAATCTGCTTGACAACAAGTTGTAGGGCTGCCTACTGGACTGAGGTAATCTCGGACTGCCCAGAACTGAGTCTGTAAATGCCCCTGTCAGCTCCGCCTTGACACTCTTAGCATGGCCAATGCGTACTTGTACTGCGTGCATGTTAGAAGTCTATTGCTCTTCTTGCTGTTGTGCAGCGAGGTTGATGGAGACGTGAACGTAAGGATACAAGGGACGACGCGCTCACCCTAGTCACCCACCGTGTGTGATGGTGACGACGCTGAACCCCGTGTTGCGGGAGCGAAATGGCGGCGCAAATGCTGACTGCGTGGTAACCGCGCCCCTTTTTGTGCAACCATCAACGACGCTTTTGTTCTGCTTTCCTTCATTAGCTTCAAAACTGTGATGGCAATATTGGGTGACACTAGGAACGTTTCTTCCCCTAAGTCTCCATGGCAAGGTTGACCCCGAATCTCCTACTGCGCATATATGTGGTTGGACCAAACGCCAATGTTATTGGCAAATCGACTATAATGCGCGCTACGATTGCGGTTCTAGACGCGTTCCCGACGCGTCCTTCAGATGGCCTCCTCCTCTTCTGGCCTGAATCGACCTCTGTCCTTCCTTTCACTATACTGGTATGCTCTACAAGCGATTTTGGTATACAACAGATCCTTCTCCTTGGTGTCGAGACTCAAGAATACACACCGTCAACGAGTGCGGCGGGCCCGTGCGGGCGTTGCGAATGCTGAGAATGCTGGGAATGAGGAGAGGCCGTTCTTGCTGCATCGGACAACGTCCGGCGTTCAAGCATCATTGCGTCTCGATCGGCATCTACTCGAGTGTTACGATTGGGTGTTATTTGCGAGCTGGCTGGAGAATCGGCACGAGTGGATGCTGGCCCAGAGTCTGGCGTCAAACGACGATCGACAGGGAATCTCCATTCGGAACTCCTAGGCTCACTATCAGGTGTGCCGGCCCGTTCAGGGGTACCAGCCAACATGGGTGACGCCTCCCGCTCTGGCGTTCCGGGCCGCGAGAAGGCAATCCGCTGTTCAGGCGTGAGCCATCTCCGGAGAGGAGCACCCCATTGTGGGCTTCCTCCTCGTTCTGGGGTGCTGCCACGTTCTGGGGTGCCTCTCCTTGATGAGAGCGATCTGGAGGAGTATGCAGGAGAGTATCGGTCCGGCGTCATACCGCGATCCGGTGTCAAACCGGGCACATTCTCGAGCATTAGGGATGGGTCAGGTCGACGGTCGGTATTAGCCTATACGATACCGTGAGATCACTGACCGATCATTGTAGATACACCATACCTCGACAGTGCCCATGAAGAAGGCAAGGTACAGCGCAAAGAGCTCACCCCAGCTCTCGTCTTCGAACAACACATCTTTGCGTGCTTCATATACGGCGACGTAGACTTCATGAAATATCGCATATTTGATGTCTGCTCGTCTCATGTGCCAATCATTGATATGATCGTCTGTCTGGCATGAGCGATCGGATCACGTAATCCGGGAAACTTTGTTACCCTCCGAGTTAGCGCACAACATCGCGCAGAATTCTTGTAGGACGTCTTCATGTAGTGCATCCTGTTTATCATTGACCTCGTCGTCTTGGTCAGGATTGAACCATCGTTCTGGACGATTGTTCTCTTCTGCTCTGCGAGCATCGGCGAGATACTGAGCTACTTCATCCATTGGCTAGGTAAACATTCTTATTGTCAGTTGAGTCATCAGCTAGCGCATCAACTGCATACCTCCATGCCAGAATGGGAAGAAGCGTCCTCACGAATATTGTCAGTTAGGAATGAGGAGCGAGAACCGCCCGGTGAGGACATGGGCGATATATCGGACATTGCGTAAGTGGTCGTTGGAGTCGTGAGGATGGCAGTTGCCGTGAGAATGCAAAGAGCTAGAGATACAGGGCGAGTTAATCGGGATAGAGCAGCTTCAGCTATACAATCCCTCTCATTGCGCTTCTATCGAAAGCAGAATCGATAATGGCTGTGAAGGTTGTCCCTGCAAAACCAGCATTGAGAAAAAGAAGAATGGCGTGTCACACGTTGCGTCCCGGATGGCCGGCCGCAACATCGTATTATGTAATAGGGGTCTCTCATGTAGGCACAGCCACTCACCAGGATTCCATACCAAAGCACCGGTGGCGCGGACACACACCCTTCCAAAATCGACCTTCTTCTTGAACTTATCCCTTACATCCGCACACGCGTCCTTATACTCCTCCCAACTCGTTCCATCAATAATATCATCAATATACAACAATGTCCTCCAGGCAGAACTCCTTCGGTGTGGTAAGCGGCTTGTTCCCCCCACGACATATCGAGCAGCTTGATTGTTTAGGTGACCCTAGTCCCCTCCAGCGCAAGTGAACGCACCCGTCAGATTCTTACCATGATCGAGGATTATCTCCGCAACGCAGGTGAGCGCTCTTTTCACGTTGAGGAGAACCTCCGGGCTCCTCTGATCACGTTGTCCGCTTGTACTCAGATGATGCTGTTTGCCATCAGTTCCGAGCCATGACTGAATCGGAGCGTATTCGCGCGCTTATCGCCGTCAATGCAGAAGCAGCAAAGATCGAAGGAATGGTCGATAGCCGAGCCAAAGGTGACAAGCAGGCTTCGGTCGAGAAGATGTTCGGTATCTTCAGGACCTTCCTCCCTCAATGGATCAAGGTAAGCGACAAGTCTTTCGAGCTTCAACTATATGCATTGATTCGTAGTGATTCGTGGCTTTTGCATAGAAAGGTGCCTCCAAGCCCGCCGTTCCATATCAAAGCATGCCACGCGGGAGCCCCATGGCTGCCCAGCCAAAGCGTCGAGTTGACTCTACTGATATGCGTCAGTCCCTGCTTCGTGCGCAAATGAGCAGGGCTGGTGGTAATTACGGACCTGTTCCGCAGACCGTCCGCGCCACCGGCAGCGCATAATCGAAACGGAAGATCCCGGGTGCTCCGACCGCACACCCCTGAAGTCTGGTTCCCTCGCTACAATCGGCCTCTGTATTCTGTCACGACTTCTGCTATGGTTTTCTATGCGACACGGAAGAACCCAATGGTCCATCCGCGAACTCGAGTATTTCTTTCGAGAGTGTCAAGACTTATGTTTCAGTATTTTTTATCTTCTCCACGAATGAAATGCGGTCGATATAAGTGTGCCTTGCTTCCTTCTTTCTGAGAGATCATTTATTTGTGGTCCGGCATCTCCTCGTTGCTCGTCTACAGATCCGCGAGGCTTCCAACCGGTTCATGGTCTATTTTGCGGCTATCCTCGAGCGACCCTATGGCGATATAAGGACCTGGCTTCTGATCGCTTCTAACGAGCCCTTCGCTGCAGGAGAAGTCAATCACATCCTGCTATAAGACATTCTCCACATGACGGATTTCAAAGTGCCCAATGAACAAGAAACCCAACGTGATCCCTGATCAAACATCTACCCCACAATTAAGGAAATGTACAACGTGGTGGCCACGAGTTCCGGAACCGAACAGCGTCCAGCCAGTGTTGGCAGTCGAGCTTTCATGTTCTTCCGGTCAAAAGAACGCATCGAGCATAATACTGTTAACTAACTTACCGTTCTATTAGGTTCTGAACACTGAAATACTTATGGACGTTCGTATTGCCCTCGGTAAGGCGAAGCCGTTGACCACGAACGACCCGTGAACTCTGCCTCGAATTTGAAGGAGGGCGCATATCAGACCCTGAAGATCAGTAAGGCGATAACAGCCCGTGGAGATGGACTCGTGTCGGCTCCAAAGCATCGGACACGCATAGATCCTTGTGAAAGCACCGCAGGTGAATGTGGCAGCAATTACCGGTTATTCAACGAAGGTAACAGTTAGCGGCATTAATTTGTATATGACTCAAAAAAGCAACCGACTCCTTTAGTTTGGCCGGCAAGGACGACCGGTCATAATTCCCGGGCTGCACCTGGGGTCCCCGCCGCCCCTTTTCAGGTGCAGCCTATGACGTGACATATGGGACAAAAATCCGACCAGTAGCAGAATCATTCAACATTCATCCGCAAATCATTCGACAATCATTTGTCACTCAAGAATCACTCCAGTCATTCCCCAATCACTCGACAATCACTCCGATCATTCTTCAATCATTTGATAATCACTTGCAAGTCATTCACAATCCCAAAATCACTCGATAATCATTTGATAATCACTCCTTCCTCCAGCATGCCCCAATCATTTGCACTACCTACTGATGAATGATCCTCATTCACGGATCATTCATAAATCACTTGGCTGTCACTCGAAAACATTTGACAATCATTCCCTTACCTTAGCCTCTCATATTGTATCCTTTCATCTCATGAGAATAGGAAACACCATATATCTCACAAAATCTGGTCACTCTATTTATTCTGGGCAATATCTGGTGTCAGCAGTCCTCCTCCCACACTTTGGGCCTGGCCCAGGGCATCATCAATCCTTGATTATCTGCCATTGCCGGCACTGTCCACAGTCCTGGAATCCGCAGATCTTGCAGAACCCATGTCATTAAGCCTCAAACATGGCAACAACCATGCTTCTGTTTACTCAACTGAATTGAGCTCAATATCATCAGATGCAGTGGCATGGAAAAAACACCTCAGCCTCCTGCCCTCTCTCTTCACCTTCCTGCCCTTGTATGGTGTTGTCCTCTCCCCTCCTCCTTCCACAATAACCCTCAGGCAAGACAACTGCTTACTTTACAGAGAGACACTCTCAGATCCAATTCCTCATTGGTGTGCACAATCCCAATCCTGCTAAGGCATTACTGATCCACTTAGGTGCCACCTATACCCACCTCCCCTTCCAGCCCCCAACCTTCTCAAACAGTGAGCCTGCTAGGCCCAATCATCCCATCCCCATCTCTCAACCCAAGGACTTTGCAGGGGCAGTCCCTGCATGCACCAATCATTCCATCCCCACCTTCTACAACAGACCTTAGTCCTGGCCTGTCCCTGGTCACTACATGCACTACAGGGATGCAGCCCAATCATTCCATCCCCACCTTCAGCACTAAGGGCTTCTCCATTGCCTGCCACAAGTGCTTTGCCCTGATTCCTTTCACACAGTGCTCTGGCCATGGCAAGCGTGCCTCCACTGTCTTGTCCCCAATGTGATGATTGCATGTGTTTTCTCAGCCAAGTGTGTTGTGCCCTCCTCTGCCCTTGTCCACTTATCTCATAATCCAAAGGAGGTACCAGAGCCGACTATCCTTCATCCCTCAACATGATGCTTCTGTAATTGTTCTCTGAACAAACACAATCGACCGGCACCTCTTCAGTTCCATGCTCCCCACATGGAATGCACCATGTTCTTTTTGGTAAGTGAGCAACCAACACTACCGCCATCCTCTGAATCACCTCACAGGCAGCTCAAACCTGGACACATACTACACTCTGCTCAAATGAACTACCTGGAGGAGGTGTTTGTGTGATGTCATATTTGCAGCACCTCCCCTGCCCTGATGAGGGCACCCAGCTCATTGCTTGGTCAAGAGACATGACTAAGACTTTATGACATGGAAGTAGCTGGTATACCTTGGCATGTGCTGGAACCTGCTGGAAGGATTGGATGGTCAGGTGACCTGCTGTGCATGGCTGTGCATGACCTCATATGACCTGATCACCTGACTAGGCTGACTAAGCAAGATGTTCTAGCAGGTTCCACCACAGAGGTATAAATATAAGGCCTACTCTGCCTGGGGACTGTCTCTTCAGACTTGGTCTCTTAGGATCATCCACAGGTACCTATACTGTAGATAGGTCTTAGTCATCAGGTCTACTCCACTTCCTTGTTGCCTGCTTAGACTCTTGGCACTCTTAGGTGAGCAGACTTAATCAGCCTGTGTTGCCCTAACACCACCTCAGAATTGAGGTTGGGAGCAATGGAAACCAAGAATGGTGTTGGTAAGGACCCTGAAGTGAATTTGGATGGCATTGCCCCTGATTACAGCATATGGGATCATACAGACAGGACACTGTCTTACAAAAAGCATGGGCACATAGAACATA